CGATCCAGAAACCGAGCTATATGCGCTCCATCGTCAGATGTCTGGTATATCAGGAGCAGAAAAGAGCTCACAGGTATCCGGACAGTATTGATACCATCAGCCACGAGCGTGTCCACATCCTCCTGGGTGAACCAGGTAGACCTGGAGGGATCGTTATTGACGTGACACACAGGACCTCGCGGTTGCACTCACCAGTGTTTTGTAAACTCCACGTTAGCAGTTGCTCGACCGTATGTTTTGGTGTAGTTCCTGTGTACGTGTAAGTCACTGGGAAGAGTTACACAACGGTCGCACGCAAGCCCACCATTCAGACCGGATACATTGCGAACAGTCATCGCAGATCTGGCCGCCCATACCTTCCCACTCTACAAGGCGTACGTGAGACTCAGTCTGTGTAGTGAAGGATGCGCATACCTGCGGGCAGCATCCATGGCTCCAGGACCGTACTATGCACCGTCAATCCGCACGAAAGTGCCGGAATAGACTACTGTTGCACACCGTACGTGTCCAACAGTGCGTACCTTGCCCTATGTTTACCAATCTCGCATAACAGGTTGCTGAGTAGGGTTTTACCAGACACAGTCGCAGTCAGCCCTAACAGCGTATCGCATATCATCGAGAGCTCTCACTGCCTTGTCTCGTTCGAGGAGCGTTGCAGTTGCGTTCGTCTTGTGGAACCTATCGAAGTCGTTATCCACCGGGGTTGCTCGCTGTCCTCTCGGTTCTCGTAGCCGGGCGGACTGAATTGAACAAAGTAGACAGTGTCGTTGGTGGCTAACGGTGGGGAGACGAGGAACTGAACGAAGTACAACAACAGCACATCCAGTCGCTCGAACAATGTCTGCGACGTGTACTCAAGTGTGGACGAGGAACACGGGCAGCGAGTTCAGGGCTTCTTTGAATCACATTACCTACGTAGTACCTGCATTTTAATCACAGTATCCAGGCTCAGCGGTCTTGACTACACGATTCACGTCGTCCAACCTCCGTCTACTCAAATCATTTCCACTCTTCCGCCACCATTTCCACCCAAATTTACGCAAACCCTTTCTCATCCAGCTACAGACGATATCGATGTCTATTCAAGAGTACAAAGTCGTCCTCGCCGGCAGCTCCCTTTCCTCCTCCTCAAAAGCGAGCCATGTCAGCTAATGTCCCAAATCAAACAGGTGAATTCGGATCTGGTCGCTCGACCTTCGCCTCTCGCTTCACCAGCGGCAAGAGCGCAACGAAGAAGATACCGGCGATCAAAACTGAGATCATCCCGGTCAAGATCTACACCTCTGCCGGCTCCGTCACCATCACTCTTTACGACACGCTCGTTCACGCCAAGGTGAGCTCTACTTACCTCCTCTGTGACGGCGTCTTTCTGCATGCTAAGAGCATAATGGAATAGGGAGGACTGCCTGAAGATGCTTTCTTCCGTACAGCCAGCGCCGCTCTGCTCTTCTTCGACACGACCAAAAAACTGTCATACGAAAAGGTGTCGGTTTGGTACGAGGCTCTGCAGAAGGCAAACGGGAGGAAGGGGTCGGAGTAAGTCACTTTTCTTTTAATATGCCACACATGTCGCTCAAGCAAGAGAAGCTGATCAAATTATGCTCGCGTTTTGCAGACCGCTGCCAGTTATTCTCGTCGGAACCAAGGTCGATGATGTGAAGGTGAGCTTCCCTCCCTCTGCTTTGCGAGTACATATCTAACGTAGTTATTTTTCATTCAGAACCGAGAAGTGAAGCCGGAAAGCATTGATTTTGCTCAAAAGCTCAACTTGCCTTACATCGAGATCTCGTCCAAGGTCCGTTTCCACTCTTCGCTATCCAGGCCGTCTTTGCTGACCAGGTACTTTTTCTTCCCGGCCCTTTTTACTCCCTTTCGTCGGATTATATAGGCCAACTACAACGTCAGAGAGCTCCTCCTGAAGATCATCAAGTCACTTCTCGGGTGCGTGCCCCGCACCTCTCCTTTTCCCGTCTCCATTTCTCATCTTTATCCATATTCGAACTGATTGAATCCCTCCCGCAGCGCATCAGTGCAACTCACCGACAAAGTAGAGCTCGAAGAACCGTCGGCCGAAGTCGACCCAGCCGTGCAGGAGGAGGCGGAAAAGGCTTATGCTGACGCAGCCAAGTAAGTCCCAAAGAGGTTTGGGTAGAGCGAGTGGAGGTGACGAGCAAGGCAGCTGCTGGGAGCGGACCAGCTGCAGCCATGGCGAACGGCTAGTGGCGACGATGTAGCCGCTAGCGACAAGGCGAGCGAAAAAGAAAGGAAAAACAGATGAGGTTCGAAAATGTCAGAGATCCGGTCGGGGCTTGGACTAGTCTCGAAACAGACGTTCTTTCAGAGCTCTCTGCATGACCTGCCCTAGTCTCGAGCCCAGACATTCAAACAGCTCCTCTTGTGCACTCTCTCCCCCCTCTATACCTTGGCTGACAGGTGTCCGGTCAACATTGTACTGGTTGTGACTAAATATACCACCACCTCCTCCACCTCCTCCTGTGCCACAGCTGAGTACAAATGTTCTGATAGTTGGATCGTGAATAAATCTTGAATGGTTCTTGAAAAGTTCTCATGGGAGGGAGTGGAGAAGAGTACGTAAGTAGAGTGACTGTCCTCGCCTCCAGAGAAACCCTGGCAACGATCGGGAAAGCACCGATCTTGAATACTCCTAAAAAATCTCACGGGGGTGTCGCACAGAGAGCTCTGCAGAGCACAAGCGACGGAACGTCGTGGGAACGAGACTAGGCTTGGACGTGATCTTGTTCAATTCCCTCACGCTTGGACGGAGAAGACCTCCCCGGCGGCAAGCTTAAGTACGGTACAGTAGATCGCCGCTCACAGAGCCCATAGAATTGGACACAAACTGGGGCAGCAATGCTGTTGCATAATAAAATTTCTAGGTCACTTCTATCCCTCCCTAGTCCACCAGCAACCTCACAGCAATGGGCACGCCGTCCTTTCCCCTCGCCATAATCTGTGCTGGTGATACGATCGTAATCTGTGGCGCTCCTCTCACGGGCTCGTGGAAGCTAAAGGTCACCAGAAGCTGGGAGATCAGAACCTTGATCTCCGAGATAGCTGTTTCCGTAGGCAGATGCAAAAGTCAATAATGCAAGGAGTAACGCGAGGAGAGCAAAATCCAGTAAGCGTACCGAATCGCATGCCCAGACAAGCTCTCGGGCCCGAGATGAACGTGAAAGTGTGCACGAATCCCCCCGACAAATTCTGCACCTCCTCGGGAAGCCCATCCTTTTCAATCCACCGCTCAGCTCTAAACTGCTCGCCGTCTGGACCCCAGACTGAGGGTAATATGTTGATTGAGGCGATGGGAAAAATCACATCCTATTTTGCTTGTTAATAGTTGTTTTAATCGGATCGGAGCGAGATGAATCAAGACACGTACAGTTCCTGCGGGGATGACGAAGTAATCTGCAAGCTCTCCGCTAGCAGTTTTGTACAGCTTTGAGACTGGTACTCGGACGTCGACATCGGCCCCACGGATGATTCGAATGTTCGCAGGGTAGACTGGTGGCGTGTGATTAGCCTTAAGTGCCAATCCAAACCACAAAGTGGCCAGCGTCTGCTACATACGCCCTGCAGTGTGTCCGAGTATGGGCGGCACGTAACGTCTCCGGAGAAGATCGTGACGGGGAAGGAGAAGCTCGAGCAGAAGGTCATTGATTTTGAGAAGCTCGAGGAAGCCGGCTTCAAGGGCAAGAAGTGGGACGTGGTCTTCACCACGTTTGTGCTCACGTTGCAGAGGTGAACGCGTATGGAGGTTGAGATTATCTTTGCAGTATGAAAACGACGCGTAAGAAAGCGGGCAGTGCTGCTGCGTTTGACAAGATCGACAGAGAGTGCGTAGTCCAGCTTCTCTTAACGGCATTCAGCACGCTAACGAGCCATTAATTCTAGATACGTCGTCAACGCCGCCCGCGCAGCCAAGTCCGACGACTCATCGCTCCCCCAACGCCTGCTCTACGTATCCGTACGTCCTACCTTCTCTCAACTCCTGATGAAGTAGTAATTCACCCATCCTACCCACAGGTTGGCGGCGCAAATCCCAACTCTTGGGAATCCTACTGGAGGTCAGCAGTTTGAATCCAAGTCTGAGAGTCGCTGAGAGCTCCATTGATACAGGAGCAAGGGCATCACCGAACAGAAGCTCGCCGAGCTCGGGTATAATGACACAATCATCTTCCGCCCTGGTATACTGCCAGGCGAAGCAGACCGGGGCGAGACACGGGTGATGGAGTCGATCGCGACGTAAGTAGTTATGAGTTGCCTTGATATTCCTGTGCGGTGCTGATGTGTAGCGTGAAGCTCCGTACTATGGCTTGCGTCCAAGGTATCGTCGAGTGTATATATGCCCGTAAGCCATTTCTCCAGCCACCATGTCCGGTGAGACGAAACGCTTTCTCAACACTGCTCTGATCCGCAGGTCCCAACTTCCCACCCTCGCAGAGGGCATGCGCATCGTAAGCGCGGTCGGGTCCTCCGGCCTCCCTCCAGATACTGTGCAGAAGGCAGGCAGCCCGAAGGCCCCCTTTAGCGTCCTCGACAACAGCAGCATACTCAACATCGCCGATGCATTCAATCAATGCGTCCTCAGCGTTCGTAAGTGACTCAACTACACTGTAGACATTGGTATTGACTGGTGATAGTATCTACACATGTACAGTAGTCATTGTCCCGTCCCATTTTGTTTACATAGAATATCGAAATAATTCATTCCCGGTGTGAGTGTCCCGCTCAGGAAGACTCGATGTAAGGCGCGCACACGCTAGCATTGTGATAGTCGGCGGGATTCCGCGTCAGGTAGCCGAGCTTCACGCCCTCGATGTAAGACCTGCGCGCATATCATCAGCTCTCCACAAAATATATGCTGACATGTAAGTAAATAAACGACACTCGCCACTGCCGGGACAGGTTCCCCGCGAGCTCCGACTGCTCAACCTTGAAGTTCCAGAACTACGTGTGCATGACTCAGCGACGTCAGCCTGCGCATCGTCGGAAAGCACTCACGATCCATCCTGCGCCCTTGGTATATGCGCGCTTTTGCGCGTCCGCCCACATGTACAGGAACGCATCCGTTGCATCAAACTGCGTCGGAAGGCCCCACTCTCCAAACCACAGCGGTGTGTCGCCTTGTACGGCATCCGCCTGCACTCTGTCCAGGTCTAGCACACTTTCAGTCATGTTGGACTGCACAGATATGGGACGACAAGGACATACTGCAGATGCTCTCCATGTAGGCAGTCGGATTCGCGTCAGCGACGCCCTGTTCGGCGGAGATCAGTATATGGCGCATATGGAATGAGATGAGCCTGAACGTACACCGAAGCTGTAGTAGAGGTGATTGTCATAGCCCTGCGGTCCAATAGCAGCATCCGCAGGGTTCGGTGGGTCGTCGTACTGCCAGTCGACGTCCATGAATCTACCACCCAATCACATCAATCAGCACTCATCGCTCTTCGTCACAACCCGACCCACTCACGTCGTCCACAGCGTGCTGCGCGACGTTATGCCTAATGCCAAGCTCGTGTCCAGGATGGCCGGGATGGACAGCTGCATCGCGAGCTCGAGCAGGATCGGCGCCGCAGCGGCGAGCGCCTCGGTGACGTTCGTGTTGAAGATCGTCGTCGCGCTCGCAACCTGGCCGAGCGCTGCGGTGAAGTTGGTCGTCGTGATCGACGTGTCAAGCGTCATGCCTGGCACGGTGATGCCCAATGTGAGTTCGACCGCGCGCACTGTGTCAACAAAGTTCTTCTGGACTGTATGAAGTTGTGGTCAGCGGACAATGGGTGGGCAGGAGGGGAAAAGAGAAGGGACTACGCACAATAGCCGTAGCCGGGAGTCTCGTCTGCGTCCATGATGGGCTCGTTGACCGCCTCGATGGCGAAGACTGTGTTGAAGTTCGGATCGAGATGTGCAAGGGTCGTCATGACCGCCGTCCAAATTAGCGCACGCTCGTAGTTGTAGGCAGTCTGAGGGAAGAAACGTGTCAGATTCCGCCTCTTCCACTTTAATTAACCGGACTCGCGTAGAACTGGACATTGTCCGTACAGCTAGATCACACGCCTTGAGGGCACGTCTCAGATACGTCAAGACTGTATGGACGTACTTTCCGGTAAATGACTGGTCGCTGGTCTGTACTCCGGGCAACGCGTGGTGATCGAGGATGACCTGAATTCCAGCGTCGCTGAGCATCTTGAGCCCTGATTGCTGAGAATAATAATGAGATTATTGATCATCATGAACGCCCTTGTAGGCAGCATGTGAAATGAGTACGTACGAGGTATACGATACCTCCCTCCGCGTAAAATTCGGTCTCCCTGTTAACGATCTGCTCCACGATCCAGAAACCGAGCTATATGCGCTCCATCGTCAGATGTCTGGTATATCAGGAGCAGAAAAGAGCTCACAGGTATCCGGACAGTATTGATACCGTCCGCTACGAGCGTGTCCACATCCTCCTGGGTGAACCAGGTAGACCTGGAGGGATTGTTATTGACGTGACGCACAGGATCTCGCGGTTGCACTGACCAGTGTTTTGTAAACTCTACGTTAGCGGTTGCTTGACCGTATGTTTTCGTATAGTTCCTGTACGTGTAAGGTCACTCGGGAGAATTTTATAACGGTCGCACGCAAGCCCACCATTCAGACCCGATACATTGCGAACAGTCATCGCAGATCTGGCCGCCCATGCCTTCCCACTCTACACGACGTATGTGAGACTCGGTCTATGTAACGAAGGATGCGCATACCTGCAGGCAGCATCCACGGCTCCAGTACCAACCTGCACACAGGTCAGCGCTTCTAGGAAGAATCTCAGCTATACGACGACAACATACCATCCACCGATGTTGACACCGTAGATCTTGTCTGGCAGGTACCCAGCAAACGCGTACTTCGAGGACGCGAGCAACGCAGCGAGGCCGACGAGCGCGTGCATCTTGACAGACTGCTTGGGTCGCTGGGATACCGTAGACACCGCATATATGCGGTCTATATATGCATGGGGGGGAGACACCGTTCCTGCGAGAACATTTCTCATCTGCATTCACACCGCTCACTATTTCAGGGCCGCTTCACGCCGGAATGCACGAAGAAGCGAGCTTTGGACCCGAGTACAACCATTCTTGCTGAAGTCTTGTCGACATCAGACTCCGTCGTCAAGGGTGCTAACGTAAATCGTAGAAAATCGAACATGAATGCGCGCCTGGCGATGTCAGAATGCGAGGAGAGGTTGTGGATTGGAGAAGGGCTGCGTCCGAGTCGCGTAACGCGTTGCACAGGCGCCAAGATGCAAGGTCAAATGACCGCGTCCACTACATTCGCGTTCATCCACCCATGCGACTCCACAACAGATTCTCTCACACTATCATTCTTGCAGTCGAACTTTCTCAGTGACCTTGTACCCGCTTGCGCCGTCGTACCTTCCAACTGGCTATGTTTGATAGGATTCTCGACTATGCAGAATGATGCGAATGTACGAAATTGATCAGGACCAGCTGCGGTGACAACCGATGCTCGAAAACATCAGCAGCCCAAGATCTCGACAATGATGTGAAACAGCTCTCGGAACATTTGCCGTCGCTTAGCTCGAACTAGCGCAGCCATGACCGGAGTGAGAAAGGTGGGAATTGTTAGCGCTGGATGGTCTATTAGACGGTATTCAGTTCATCATATATAGTAAGGTTTCCCGGGGTGTGTAAACGTTTCGAGCTGGCATGCGTGAACATCATGCCCGGATAGGTTGGATCCCTTTATATATCGGCAGTTGAAAACATCCAAAGCCAATATATCTCGTCGACTCGCGAGACAAACGACTGGCACAACAAATACCATCCTCATACCGCAAGCTGATAGCCGACGTTAGCCTCTAGTTACGCGGAAGACACTAGTTGTTCATTGATAGGATTGCGCTCATGGCGATCAGTAGCGTCATGGGAATTCAAGCAGAAGTGGGGGAATCGACCGCCCTCGAAGCGCGGCGGACATTAATTGCCTCGGATGAAGTATGCAGTGTTTGTGAGCCCGACACAGGAAGAGAGGGAAGCAGAAAGACTGCCGCAAGCTCTGCCATACCTCACCGGCATAACTTAGTTCCTAATCATGCAGTTTGTAACAGGAAAATTTTGCAATTCAGGTATCGACTTCTCGTTCGCCAACAATTGCAGAAGCGCGCTTGAAGGGACATGTATGGCCTGGGGGGAAAAGTGCTTGGGAAAGAGCGTGGAGGAACAAGGTTGATTAGAATCTGCCTCAGACGTCCTGGTCAAACGAGCCTCCGACAGTACAATTATCAGAGCTCAGACCACAAGGACTGCGTTCAAATAGCGGAAATGTTTTACCCTAAAACGTAATAATCACTCTATGATACTCAGCTCGCGCTTCCGTGTCCGCGCGAACTCGTCCTTGTATGTGTTCCAAATGCTGCACAGCCACGTAAGTTTCTCCCCAAGCAACGGCGGCTGCAAGTCGAAAGACGCACCTCATGAGCTCTTCTATGTACAAACCCTGAACATGCGTGATCTCCTCCAGTGTCGGCTTCTCACACTTCTCCACATGAACCGGATTGCCGACTACGGTAGTTGTCAGTCATGCTGGAAAGATACTGAACCATAGTGAGCTGCAACTCACTGACTACGACAATTCGCCGTCGGTAAGGCATCAAGCCCAAGTTATCTAATCATCCAGAGGAAGAGAGGCAGACATTAGCCCGAGTGTACATTGATGAAACACGTAGGCGCACAATTAAGCAGCCCTCGTCCATGAAAAAGCGGGAGCGTGAACCCAAACACATTTTGGAATTTCTTCTGCAGCGCGTAAACTGTCGTCCCCTTCTCGTTCGGCATTTGGTGGTATATCTGCATTTAGACGAGTCAACAAAAACGGTAATTGCAGAACCTTTCTCTACGTACATCATTCTCGCCGAAAGAGAATACTGGGACGAGGTCGGCTCTGCCCGTTCGTTTTCATGAGCTGCACTCGAAGATAGAGGAAGCGGTCGTGCTTACCCATGCTGAATGGCAACCTTGATGAATCCCAACCTATGACCAGTATTCTGTAAGTACTACGCCCCATCATCCGACGCACGACCACACCCACCGCTTCCGCAACGTCAAGTCCGCCGTGCCCGGGCGCGCACTTAGGCTTTCCGCAGCGCCACCAACAACTATCGTGATGGACTGCCCCGGGCCGCCCTTGAGGATGTTGCTGCACGATTGCTTGCTCACGGAGCGGATGCCCATCGCGAGAAGGAAGTCGCGGTAGAATGGCACGCGGAAGTTCGACGAGAGCGTGAGCAGGTGCGGGATGATCCCTGGGTAACACTGCGAGAAGCCGGTGCCTGCAGGAGAACTGTGGCCTCGGAAGACATGAGAAGGTGGAACAGCGGACGCACTCTCTGTTCCGAATGTGCAGAGTGCACCCCTGCGGGAGGCGTGAGGATCGAGATCCGGCGTAGATCGTCTTTAAACTCACATGCCGATGATGCCTGCAATAGCAGATCATTGCACATTCAGCAGCCAGAAAGGGTACAGCAGGACTGATGCCTCACCATGCGGGTGATACCCGAAGACGTAAGGCCGATCTGCAGGCAAATCGCATGTCTATGATCGTCACTGTACTGCTCACACTTCCCATCCATTCGAACGCGACTGACCTTGAGCATGCTGAACAATTACGTTCAGTGCGATCTCAGAAGCCAGTAGCCACGAAGAGCACGAGACACTCACGAGGCGGGGTAGTAGTCAGCGAAGTACCGCCAGAACCGTCCTGAGCGGAACCACGCGCTCAACCGTCCTCCCTTCTCAGGACTCTTGTCGAGGACGTGCACCCAGAGCATATATGCAGCAAGGAAGGGCCATAACGGCGGATAGGACCTGTGAAGGTATTAGCGTGCACTGTGCCTCTAGCCACGTTAGCCCAAGCCGCGCACAGGAGAATCAGGAATACAAATGTGCTCCAGACGATGACGGTAGACCACACCGCGACAGCGAGTGTCTGTAACCGTCTCTTCCTCGGTATCTTGGAGGGCACGAAGCTGCATGAATGCGCGTCTAATGTCAGTCAGGACGCCCGGCTTTCGTGGAAGGAGAACGGCACCGACTCGATGTTGGGTGGGTGGAAGTTTGTGACCGGGCGCAGGGGTTTGGTGGTGAGGGTGATGCTCGAAAGGCGTTCCCGGAGGGAGGACGAGGAGAAGTTGCGAGCGGCAGAGGTGAATGCTCTCCGGGCTTCCATGTTGAGTATGAGTCCCTGGGAAACGTGCCGAGTCGTGTGCAGGATCCGTTCAATTGCGTTGACACAATGTCGTAAATGAAAGATGTGAGGGAAGGATCGACCGAGACGTTGAGCAGAGGTATAACAGTGAGGTGGAGAGGACAGAGGACAGCGACAGAAAAGGCTCAACGCTAGCCGACAGTTGGAGGTCGATCCATGCATTTCAACTCGAGGCGGCGCGCATGGAGTCACCCAACGGAAGCGAGGGTGCACGCTGCTTCCGCTCACTTTCGCAGAGAGCACAATCGATGTCGATGAAGCCGCTATCATTCACAAAAATACTATGTAATCTACACGCATGCCAAAGTGCCACACACCACGTTCTAGTCGTTTTTCAAGCGTCGCGATGATCAAAGAATACACAGCGGGAGAGAAAACTGACAGAGAAACAGACACATACAACGTGCAGAGCCCACCCTTCCTTTCCATCTTCATGCGTACAGGTCATCATCTTGCGTGTCCTCGCCAAACCCAGCATTGCCCGTTGCAGCAGGCGCCGCACCAGTCGCCGGCGTACCAGAGCTCTCTGGGAACTTGAACGACGACCCAAACGAGCGCGACTGCTGCAAGTTCTGGGAGAACATCTCGTATCGTCGGATGTCCGCGTCCGAGACTGAGCGGCGCGCAAACTTCATCGCCTCCTCAAAATGCTCCCGCGTGATCACTGGCACAGGATCCTCCTCCTCTTCTTCCTCCATTGTCGCGTCCTCGCCAGCCGCCTCCGCCTTCTCCTTCTTCTCTCTTGCCCGCCTGATATCCGCCTCAATGCTTTCCCGGATCGCCAGCTTCGCCGCACGCTGGCAGATTTCCGTCAGGTCAGCACCGGAGAAGCCGTGCGTATTCTTCGAGAGGAACACAAGATCCACATCAGGCGCGACCGGAGACTTGCGTAAAGTCGCCCTGAGGATCGACAAACGCGATGGCTCGTCGGGCAGTGGAATGTAGATGAGCTGGTCGAGACGTCCAGGTCGGAGAAGCGCCGGGTCGATCTGGTCCGGCCTGTTTGTCGCACCAATGATGAAGACGTTCTTCTTGACATTCATACCATCCATTTCCGTTAAGATCTGGTTGAGCACGCGGTCGCCCGCACCGCCGGCGTCGCCCGAGGAGCCGCCGCGTGCCTTCGCGATGGAGTCCAATTCATCGAAGAACATGACACATGGCGCGGCCGCACGGGCCTTGTCGAAAACGTCACGGACATTCGCCTCGGACTCACCGAACCACATCGTGAGCAACTCAGGACCCTGTCAAAGGAGTCAGTAACGGTTCCGTAAACTCTTTATTCATGAAAATGCGCACCTTGATACTAATGAAGTTCGCCTGCGTCTCGTTGGCGATGGCCTTTGCGAGGAGGGTCTTACCAGTACCTGGAGGGCCATAGAACAAGACACCCTTCGACGGCGACATACCATACTTGAGGAACTTGTCGGGGTGCTCAACTGGGTACTGTACAGTCTCCTGCAACTCCTGTTTGACCTTTTCGAGACCACCAATATCGTCCCACTTGACGGTCGGGACCTCCACGACAGTCTCGCGCAGAGCAGATGGATTTGACGTGCCGAGCGCGAACCGGAAGTTTTCCATCGTAACGCCGAGCGAATCGAGCACCTCCGCGTCAATCGTGTCCTCATCGAGGTCAATCAGGTCCATCTTCTCGCGGATCTGCTGCATCGCTGCCTCCGAGCAGAGCGACGCGACATCGGAGCCGACGTAACCGTGAGTATCCGCAGCGATCTGCTCGAGGTCGACATCGTCCGCGAGTTTCATGTTCTTCGTGTGGATGCGCAGAATCTCGAGGCGGCCAGTTGGGTCGGGGATACCAATATCAATTTCACGATCGAACCGACCGAACCGACGGAGAGCAGGGTCGATCGAGTTGGGTCGGTTCGTAGCAGCCATGACGACGACGTTCGAGCGTGCCTTGAGACCGTCCATGAGTGTGAGGAGTTGCGAGACTACTCGGCGCTCGACTTCTCCGTTCGTCTGCCAAAACCCGTCAGAAACTTCTTCGCGAGCGATCAGCCAATGAAACCCACCTTTTCACGTTTGGGAGCAATTGAATCGATCTCATCAATGAATATTATAGCGGGCGAATTCTTCTCCGCCTCCTCAAATGCCTTCCGGAGGTTGCTCTCAGACTCACCCGCCATCTTACTCATGATTTCTGGGCCGTTGATCAAGAAGAAGAATGCGCCGGTCTCGTTCGCGACTGCACGCGCCATGAGCGTCTTACCCGTTCCGGGTGGGCCGTACATGAGGATACCACGCGGGGGCTTGATACCGATCGACTTGAACAGCTGTGGATGCCGCAGGGGCAGCTCGACTAGCTCGCGAATCTGGGCCATCTGCTTGCGGCAACCACCAATGTCGTCGTAGCCGACTTCGCTCAGACTCGCTTCCTCGTCTTCGCGCTTGACGGGGTCGCCCTCCGTGTGAATGACTGTATCTTGTGCAACGATACAATATTCCGCGGGATCGGTCTCGATGACCTTGAATTCGACCGTTCGCATTCCACCACGGACGAGGAAAGTGTCGCCTTTGCGAACAGGACGATACGCTACGAGAGATGTCAGCTTGTTTCTGACTATGATGCGCTGTATGACACGTACCCTCCAAGAAATATGGTTTGAGGTAAACCTCGAAAATGTTACCACTGAGACCCTCGACCGAGTCGTCGAACGGCAGAATGTGCACCCGCTTGCCGTACTTGATATCCAAGCATGGGTGAACGTTGACCATGTCGCCAAGCTTGACACGCAAGTTGTTGCGGGCGACCTTGTTCATCTGGATCTTGCCTTCCTCAACGTCGTCGGAGCTCAGGCAAATGAGAACCGTGTCGTGCCGCTTCTTGCCCCTGTTACCTCTTCAGAAAATTTTCACGTCCCTTCAGTAGATGTAAACTTACCGAACGATGATAGTGTCTCCGCGGAAGAGCTGGAGGGTCTCCATCGTCGCGGGATTGAGAGTCGCGACTGCAAGACCGGTGAATCCACTGCTGCAGGATTAACATTACTCAATACTCACCAGAGTTGTCATCGGATGTCGCCTCATCGACAATAAGACGGTTAGGACTGCAGGGACATGTCAGCGCACTAGTTCAATAGGATATATGACGCGTTCGAGTACATACGATTTCTTGGGCCTCAAAATCGCTGTAGAAATGTCGTTTGGACCGGGACCGGGTGCTGCGCCACTGGGGTCCGCCATTGCTGTTTCGTCGAGTAGCGTGAAGGAGAAAGAGAGAGGTGTATGAGGATATGGAGGAAGGAGATGAAGGAGCTAATAAGGCTGGTGCAAGGCGACGCGCGTCCTGCATCGTCCTCGATTACCAAATCCAATGCGTGAGAATATCCTTCTCCGTTCGAGAGCTTTCCAGGAGGTTCCTTTCCAGATCAGGAAAACCCGAGGACTTCGGTGTCACGGTATCACGGACGCGCTCGCCCGTGACAGACGCGTCTGCTCACAGCTTGCGATCGTGACCGTCGACGAACAACCTGTCATGCCGCCGTTCTCCCCGCCACCTGCTGGGCCGACACTGGCAGCTGCGGCTGGCCGGCACTCGCCGAGTGAGTATAAGTTCAACTTTCGTGGTTCGTGTTTTGCCCATCTCCTCTTCTCTCTCTCCACATTTACCCAGACCCTGGTGGTCTCGCTGTCGTATTGCTATCGTCTTGCTATCTTTGCGACTGGCTCGCGCATACGTATTCAGCGCACATCCCTAACTATTCTTCTCACAAGACTTCTCATTTGAACGCACAGTTCCACCATGGTTGTCCTCGCTCCTCGATTCACCCTTCTAGCTGCTCTTGCGTCCATTGCTGCAGTCTCGGCCTTGCCTGCTCCCGCGGAAGGTGCTGTAGTTCAAGTTCGCTACAGGGATCAGGAGTCAAACACGGTCACCGCTACGCATCATCGCTCAACTCATGATGTCGCGCATACTGCCTCTGCGGACGCATCCAGATCGTCTGACTCCACCGACAAGAAGGATAGCAAGCCCGAGCATCACACCCAACCTGTCCTCGCGCTACCATCTCCCAAGACCGACGCAGTCTCAGGGAAGAGGACCAGCAAGCACTCCTCGGCTTTGAAGGAGGCGAAGGACGACGGGCATGACGAGAAGCACGAGCATGACAAGGAGAAGGTCGGTGGATCTGCCTCTTGTTTGGTGTCAAGCATAGATTCTCACAGCTAGACTAGAGAGCCGATTTGAATTTTGTCCATTCGGTCGCGCAGTTTGATGAACTCTGGGTCGGACCTCCTCACGGCAGATTCAACATGAAAGTCGTCAGCCAGCCTCCCACGGTCAATAAGAGGCATCGTCACGATCACGGCCACGACAGGATCATCGTGAAGGGCGATCACGACCATGTCAACGTCCGGCGCTCCTGGCATGACCATCATGACAAGGTTGTGGTAAAGGGTGACGATGACCATGTTCATATCCATCGCTCTCCCAGGTCACATCGTCACCACGGCAAAGTCATTGTCAAACGTGATTATCAGCATGTTAACGTTCGCCGGTCACCGGTCCCGGAGCCACACCACCATGACCACGACGAACATGATGACCACGACAAGGTGATCGTCAAAGGTGACCATAATCATGTCAACGTTGTTCGGGAACTCCCCATGTCGCGGCCAATCTACGTCGTCGGAAGTTCTGACAAGCCTTACTTCGCCGCGCTCATGAGACGGGATGGCTCACAAGCTCCAGGTGTGCCTGGTTCCATCGATATCATGGTAAGGCCACCCAGATTCTAATCCTTGGAATCGACGACTAACCGTTCGCAGAGTCAAACGGCGAACTCCACTACGGGTCAGAAGATTGCCTCTCTCGTCTTGTCTCCAGCAGACAACAGCACGGACAGTTCTGAAAACTCAACGACTGCTAGCTTCGTTCTCAATGCCTCAGGCACGGACCAGACGCAGATCTACCTTGTGGCGTGGACATCTGACTCGTCCAACTCGACCGCCTCTGGCAACTCGACTTCTCCGTCAGACTCGTCCAATTTGAACTCCACGATGGTAGATCCATCTTTCATCAAAGTCAGGTTGCAGGTCCTTGTCTTCGATGCGTTCGCTGCTCAGATGGATAAGTACTGCGCGACGTTCGATGCCAACCCGCCTGCACCGTCGCCCATGACGGTCGAGCCCTGCCGGAGAGACGCGGAGGGTACTGAGCACGCCAGCCAGGTTTTCGCGTACGAGCCAGGCACGGGCGTTGTCCGGCCGCTGTGGTACACCGACAGAGACGACGTGACAGGCGACTCTGGCACGGCTGATCCTGGAGACCCTTCTCGCTCATTGAACTCGACCATGGTGAGCACTTCTACCTTGGCAAGCAGCTCGGCAATGGCTAGCGCAACGGCATCGGCGAGTGATAGGATGGCGAGCCTTCAGCAGGAGTCCGGTGATGCGACAGTGCCACCATTCCGCGCGTCATTTGCGAAAATGTTCGACGCGCCCGCGTTTGCGCAAGCGCAGAATGTGACGCTCGTGTTCACCCCTGCGGCGCCGGAGGTGATCTCAGAGAAGACTGCGCAAGTCCCGGATGACGATGACGATGATGAATCGGACGATGGCAGCGACGACAACTCAAGTGATTCTGCGACATCTGATCCTACTGGTGTTACCACTTCTGCCTCTGGTACAGCTTCTGCCTCTACCTCTACCTCTGTGACCAGCCTACCTTCGGTGACTACCATGAGTTCTGCTGCCTCGTCTACGGCTACTGTCTCAGATACGTCTTCTGCTTCGAACAGCACCATGCCGGTCTTCTCTGCATCCAACATCATCTCTGCGGCCAAGTTCGCGTCGATGACTGTCTCGGCTACTTCTTCTGACACGAGCTCCCCTATTGGATCTGTGTCTGCGTCCACGGATTCCGCAAGTTCAAGTATGAGTGCCACTGCTGTGCCAGCTTCTCTCGCGGTGGAAGTGTATGACCCAGCAGCCACTGCTTCTAGTTCGAGTTCGTTCTCGGGCAACACCTCTGCGTCTATCTCTGCAACCCCGGTCTCGTCCAGTGCAAATGGCTTGAGCTCTGTGATCTCTACAGCTTCTGCGTCTGCGACTGGCTCTACCGACATGCAGGACTTTGTGGCGAGCCTCAATATGAGCACTACCAATGTGCCAACGAACAGTAGCTCCATGACAGCGAGCAGTACGAGCTTGGCGCTGACGATGACGACTTCAAGCGCGGCGCCATACGAATGGATGTTCCACGAAGGCACGATCAAAGAGCAGCGGGTTTAGGAGTCTCTTTCTTCAGATATCTTTTTGTTACATTGTATATGCATCACGATTGGTGCGCACATCACTACACCCACACTCCTTTACGGCTACGTTACATGTCACCTAATACATATACTATTGTACATACACGACCTAATGAACACACTACTAGTGCCGGTATACTGAGATGGGATATCGGGATAAGCGCCGTGAGCCCGGCTTTGATCACGATGATCGTCCTTCCCATGCACGCTCATGCATGCCGTAGCCATTCGCCCTTGCTTGCAATGCTCCACAGCGATGCTACTACCTTCATCGACGCTACTATCCTCGACAAATTAATTAGCTCGTGCAGATCTTGAGAACATCTTGCCCTGCGCTGGTCGCTATCTGCTTCATCTACGTGGAATTTAACTCGCGCCGCAGGTCACTATTTCACCATCCATTTGCGTCGTCGTCCGAGTCACAGTCCTCGACAGTCACCTTCCTGACGGTCGGATGCTGTTTTGCCTTCGCTGTCATGCTCTTGCAATCTGAATCGGTCCTGGCGACAAGCGGGACCCGACTCTGCGCTGCATCGAATCGCACGCTCGGATTCTCCTCGAAGGATATCTTATGTTCGGTCGCGGTGCGCGATGCTGCAGCATATGTCGTCGAGACTGGATCGTTCTCGGGTGCACGTTTTGCGGTGCCCGCGCCATTTTTGAGGATCCCTCGCAGCTGCTTGGTCCTGGCGCTCGCTGTCGACTTCTTGGGCGGGAGTGGAGGATGCGCTGTGGGACTCTCGTTCATATGACTGGCTGGTGCACTTGATGGATGCGGCGATTTCTGCCGAGCCTGGGACGACGCGGTGATGATGCGCTGCGGGACGAGGTTGGCTTCATGTGTGGAGGAGGGAGACGATCCCCGCTCGCTGGGAGACGATTCCGATGCGGTGTCTACTGGACTACCAAGCATTTCCTTGTCTCCTGAGGCGTCATTCGCAGGCATAGCAATGTGTGAACGAACATTGACGTTGGGTCGACTGTTGCTACTGGGCTGCGATGACTGCTGCTGTGTGCCGTGCTGTTTCCTCCGGTACGGTATGACGATGACCTCTTTATCGTCTGGGGAGCAGCTGGGATACCATATTTGGGTAATCTCTTCTGCGGAAATCGACGACGAGGACGAACTTGCGCTCGAGCGGCGGCTCTCTGTGACTCGCCCAGGTGGATGTTGTGGACGGGTGTATAGGAAAGCTGGGGTTGCGGCTCTGGCGGTCCAAGTCGCCGGCGCGTCGCGCTTGGACTGAGACGAGGTGAGATTGCCACAAATCTTTGTCCGCGAGCTGTTTATGTCATCGCGCGTTTGTGCTTGAGCGGTCGTTGCTGGTGTCTCCATGGGCCAGTAGTACGTCACACCGTTGGGGTGGACGCGCCATCGCCGTCCAGCATCAGGATCGTCAGATTGCGTCTGGTATAAGAGCTCGTCGGTGGACGAAGGTGGACTCTCACTGTTCGCATCAAGCCGCGCTTCGTGCTCTTCTCTCTGAATCTTCAGCTTGGACGCCATTATATTGCGAAAGGTCGCCTCGGCTTTCGCGGATATAAAGGCCTTCGTATCCGAGAACTCCTTGAGGATCCTCCCCTGCGCCACCTCGTCAGTCGGGAACAGCGAGAGCTGGACATCTCTTCGCTCCCGCGCTTTGTTCATCACCGGCTGCAGCATCCTCTCTATGTGCTTCCGTGCGTTGTTCTTCCAACTCTCGCTGGGCTGCATATCTCGGCTCGTCAATGTTGCCCGCTCCGGCCCTTTGTCGCCAGGCACGGGTAGTTTGCTGCTGGGTACGGTGCGCGGAGAAGGGTGGGATAAGGTGTACCGCCTGCGGCAGTCTAATACACTGCGCCACAGAAACGAGGATGGCCCTATTACACTCGATAAATCGCCCAAGAATCTATCGCCCACCGTGGAAGAGCTCACATGCTCCCGAACGCGGGTGTGGTTCCTGTGCGGTCCGCCCTACCTGCTTTGAGCGAGCTTCTATGTCGGATGACTATAGCTGTCCACTCTATACTTGGTGAAGTTGACTCCGTTCAGCGCTAGCCGTGCAGTCAGGTACTTATGCTCTGATGTAATGCTCTGAACTCGGTGAATCCATATTGCTGAATTCGTTCGTTCTTACATCATGGCGCGTCGATGTGCGACCCATATGCCCATTGCAAAGATCCGCATACTAGCGTAGATCGTGCGTGGCATGCGTTGGACAAGGCGCAGATCCTCGTATTAATCAACTGCACATCGAGGAGAGCGTGAGAAACGAGCGTCGCTCGTCTGATAAGCGCCAAACCCGCGGGTTGAACAAAATGCAAAAGTATGCTCAGCGCCACCTTGTCCGTCATACAATAATTGTCCCCTTCGGGGTGACATACGAAAAAATTGGAACGATACAGAGAAGATTAGCATGGCCCCTGCACAAGGATGACACGCTTTCCCGGAGTGGTAGACCTACGGGTCTCAATATTTATTTTCTTTCTTTTTCCTTTCTTTTACGTTCATGTCTTAACCGCTTACAGGCTCTTCCATCTTATCTTTCTTCAGGGACTCGGAAGCTGTCTACAACAAATGCGTTATGACTGAATAGCTTGGCAGCTGGCACGCATATGTCAAGAGTTCCAGCCGATCGCCCGAACGGCCGCCCTACTATGTGGCCAACTCCTTGTGTGTATGCATGCGCCTCGCGTAATGCAAGGCTTCGAAGCTTCGACTCCCTACAATGCAGCCGGGGAGATTCAAAGTTGTCTGACATCCTCCTCACTGGCTGACCAGGCATAATTCCACGAGAATCGCGATATCACCCATGCGAGCCAACCATGAATGCAGGAATGAAGTTCAACATTGCATCGCTTATTGTGTCTGGCAATCAAGCGGCCTGGAAGAGTTATATCACTCGAGTGCCGTGCTATTGCCCCAAGTGCATGAACGATTCAATAGAATCACGTATTGGCTACTCTCACTGACATGCTCAGTTCGATAGACACTACGTCCGTTTATTGTGAAGCTTTTATGTACAACATCAGTTCTTCTCTAGTGCTCGCGATGTACCATGATGTCTCACAACTGTGCTTCAAGTACGTCATGCCTTACGGATCGAAGTACGTCCCTGACAGATATCCATTGAAGACGGCTACGATATAACAATCAAATAGTAGCGAAGTCTTAGTACTCTATCATACAGTGTCCAATTTCGAGCTATAGCCTGTTCTAGTCTCACTGGAGGGAGAGAAGTACCATTACTTTGTCGAGCCATTACATAACAGATGAGAAAACAAGAAAGACTGAAGCAATTATACAACGTGGAAGAACACATCATCGGAAAGACAGCGCTGGATTCAACCGGGGCGAGTGCGGGGGTGAATTGCTCTGGGCAAAGTGTGTGGCTTGCGATGGCGATGACAATGATCCAGGAAGATATAGAGGTATAGTGGGAATGAGCTCGAAGACATGCTGTGCCACCGGATGTGCTGGGGTCCTCGAATTCGTCCCTTGTTGAACACCGGATTCAACGTTCATGACTCCGTGGACGCGCGGTTCTTGTGAGACGCCTTCCGTCCACCCTTCGGGTCCTGGAACTGCTGATGTGGGAACGTTGCTCGTTCCTCGTCCATCCCAGATACACCGTACGTCGTTCCCAGGAATGATCTGTGCGAGGCGACCGGTCTCCACATGTCGAACCTCAACGAAGCGCGTATCGAAGAGCAGGACGTAAGGCGGATGCCATGCGACGTGTTCTGCCGTTCCTTCCCATTCAATTGTGCCCATAGAACGACTCGGATCGCCGTGGCGGTCTACATAGAGGCCAAATTCTAGGGACAGAGATCAACGGAGGTAGTCATGACCGCGATTGAGATGCATCATACCATCATAGCACAGCAAGAATTCATCCTGACTGGTACGGAACATCCCCATAGGTCTACAAGATTCGCATCTCTTTGCGAGCCTTTCGAGATGAGGATCATCACGTTGAGGAATCGTGACGCTCTTAAAACTATGAGACAACATCAGTGATAGCTTGGATATCCGCTCATTAATTCCTCACTCGGTGAGATCCATGATTTCGAACCCTTTCGTGCACAAAATCACGATCTTAGCCTTCAGGAAAATCAGGTCAAAGGACTCGGATGGTAGGAAGAAGTCCTATCCGGCAAATGATCAACAGCTATTCTTTCGAACAGGCGGATGGTGAACATACCCTGTAGACCCGGAACCATTCTGAACGCTGAGATCGCAAGCCAAGCCGTGAGCTAAATGTCTGCGGTGCCTTCGCTCTCTCATTGATCTTGCCCACAACAGGCTCTAACACACGGAAGACGCTATCGAGCTAGCGGGGAGAGTAAGTTCTGGACCATTTCTCTCTGTGTAATTTACGTACCCCTTTCTTCTTCATGTAGATGACTAGCGTACGACCGTTGAGGCTGCCGACGCTGAAGAAATGGACGTCCTTGTTGCCGCTCAGCTTTTGTGGAGTCTGTGAGGTATGTGCACTCTGAAGGGAAGATGGCACTAGAGCCTCGATATGGTACGCGAACAAGGACTGAGGAAATTATGTAAGCACGGATAGAAGAATAATATTCATAATGGACCTCACTTTGTCCGCCAGTACTAGGAAAATACCGAAGTCTTCTAGCATTGCACACTGTGTAACCATCTTCAAGTGAAGTACGCGACGCATTGCTGATTGTGGGCATCGCAGAATTGAAATCAACAGAACAGGCAAAGCAAATTTGCACATGTACTTACATCTGGAATCATGTCGGAATCCAATCCATACGCCCTCCGCGCATCCAATGGCAACGAGACCTCGCCCATCGGCAGTATCTGCATTGATGCTATGGTCAGAAATGACTCACAAATGAAAACGGCTGCAACATACTGAATGGTACAGAACAAGTGACCTTGCCAGTGAATGCGTTCTCGTGGCTGTTAGCAACGCTACCGCCGCCAGGAGCCATCGCGGGTACAAAAAAGGTATCCGCGCTGAGAGTCTCAACCTCGAATACCTTGTTAGACTCCTGCACGACCTTCCTAAGTCCAATGGCCTCATCCAACTTTGCCTTCCACTCATTCCGGCCTTGTGCAGACTCTGCAAATAGAGTATACAGCCCACCCATTCGCCCAGTATGATGGAATATGCAAGGGAAAACTGCTCGCGAATCAGTGGCACTGTCAGGTGAGCTTGCAGCTCCGGGGGTCGTAACGGTATCGGAGTGACTCCGGGGCTCCGAACGGCCAAGGCGAAGGATGCCAGCACTCCGCTGAGTGGCAGGATCCCTGAAATTGACTAGCGTAAGCAGGTCGAGCGGTATAGGCTGTCTGCCGGTCAGTAAGGCGTATCTGCAAGACACATGAAGCCACCTACGCGCCGGTAAACGTGATAACGTGTAATCCCCTCTTTTTCTTTGGGTTTTGTCATGACCACTGCAGAATGGACATTCAGGAACCCATCATCAATGCGTGCCATAATGAACTCACGATAGTTGTCGAATAGCAGCACGAAGAGTTCAGTCCACCCATTCCACTCGAAACCAGTATCAGGCTGTCGAAGCAACCTACCACTATGTATAAGCGATCGGTTCTCGTTCAGTAGATCCATGTCCTATGCGCAATCAGCCGTGACAACGGAATACATCGTCAAAATTTCTTACGATTGCTTCGCCAGGCTTGAATACCAAGTTCGAATTGTAGCGCCAGACCTCGACCTTCTGTTTTGCCGACATCACACCCGGTTCGGCCTCTTTGCCTAGAGCCTTGATGAGATCTAAGACTTGTGGTATTGTTTCTCTGTCCTCGTGACCTTCCGGAGTTTCGTCCAAGATGCTTTTCAGCAGCAATTCGTATCTCAGCAACCTGGGGATGGGTCGATTGATAAAGGCTTTCATGTCCAACTTGCGAGCATCTGGGTGTCTTGTACATTGCTAGATCAAGGGCGATATTAGAGGTGAAGTCAGATTATCCGCCTTCAAAGTCGTACCTCGACAAAAGACTTGAAAGATGAGTTATTAGCCATCTCATCGTCGATGCGGTATGCTGCAATGGGATAATTGGGTATGTACTCCAAATACGCATCACGGAAGTTGAGGACGGCATCATAGATAGGCGAGGTGATACTGCGGATCAAAGGGTGTTCCTCTCGCTGAATCTCGTGAAGAGCGTGCAACATCTTGCGGTGATGGGCATGCAGCTCCGCAAAGTTGTGAAATACATCTCGTATGAACTGATCCAGTCGGTCTCTCGGAATAATAGGCGGATCCATCTCCCGAAGAGGCGAGACATACATCTAACGGGTGGTAGCTCAGCACGCATGAAGTCTAATCTTTGCAGATCGTACGCACTACTTCGATATTCTCGAGGTCCTTGACATAATCCATCTCTCCCTTGATGAGCTCAAAGATGATCCTAGCAAACCGCACCGTCAGACATCTGTAAACTGTGCGACAATTCCGAGCACTGACGACTGGCGCTTCCCTTCCTTTTTTGGCAGACCCTTCCTGATTTCTTCTGAGACGAGATTATGCCACTCGAGTTTGCCTGTTGGGCCTTTGCCCATCGCTGACTGCCATGTCCATAACTGTGCAACAGTCTGCAGCTTCTTTATCGCCTCGATGGCTTCTTTGAGGAAGTCAGCGTCCGGATTTCCCTCCGTTGTCTCATTGCAGATAGCCTCCAGCAACACTGGATACTTCTGAAGATGTTCCGAAGGACGATTCAGGAAATGTTTCAGGTCAAGGCGGTGCGCTTCCGGATCTCTAGCACGTTGCTGGATTGCAACGATCAGATGAAAGCATTGTTAGATGCAACAGGGTGAAAGCACCTCGATGAACCGTCGGAACTCAGCATTGCGCTCACTCTCATCTTTGACCCTTTTTTCCGCAACTGGGAGGTGACCGACATAGATTGGATAGGCGAGACGAAACTCCGTCGCCGCATCGAGGAAGATATCGCCGACTCCTTGTATGATGGGAGCCTGCTCACGCTGCCTCACGTTCAATACCTCGAGAAGTCGACGATTGCATTCCCGAAGGTCGAGAATGTTGCCGAAGACGTCCTCAATGAATTCATCTATCTCGCTCTGACGGATAATTGGTGGATTCGCTGTTCGCAGAGGTCGAATGAATAGCTATCGCGTAGGCGTTAAATGAGGGGAATGCAACGTCGCAGGAAGCAGGATGACCCACCGATTCTACAGCGTCTAGATCGCGTAGATACTGCTTCTCCTTATTGATCACTTTGTGTATAATCCTTCCAGCCGTAGTTCAATACGGAAGTCTGCGGAGAAGGGAAACATACGCACGTTTGTCGATTGACTTCGCTCTCCGGCAGCGTTTTCAAGACCTCTTGAGGTACCGTATTCACCCAGGACTCGTCCTGAATGAAAGAGAGGAAATGAGATGACATCAAGAAGTTGGCTGTCTGTAATTCCCACCATCTCTTCCTCCTCTTCCTTCTCTGTCGAGGTCAAAAGAGGCATATTTCTGTTCTGTAAGTAATGCTCTTATAATTGACATCACAATACCTGAGTCCTCACGGAAGTGCTCACCCTCTTTGGACAAGCATATGAATAGCATGGCGTCTCGTCGTAGCAGCTTGGCGAATAGCATCTGGTCAACAGAGTAATTACCGCTGTGGGAAGTTCCTCGCGCTCAATACGAGCATCGGACGCGCCCTCCTGGTCATCAAGGAACATATAGACTTCCTCAACGCCGTCCTGCAGCACACGCCCTCCCCATTCGACTTCATAAAAGAACAGCTGGCTTTGCAGGCTACGCGCGACTTGCAGGGCAGCGCGCCGGTCATTGGTTGAAATTCCATGCGTCACCAGCAGCTCCCGCTGTATTTGAGACTGTATTGTCGACTACACGCGCGTCATAACTCTGAGTCCAGTAACAAAAGGAGTGGACGTACCACAATATCCTTTCCCGTGAATGCTCTTGGATACGGGATACTGCCTTTGACATGAGTACCTCTCACCACCTTGTCCCGTAGCCTCACCGCGATGTGACTCAATAGAGCAGGGTTGAAGAACCGATCATCACCCTCTTCAGATGGGTCCTCATCATAGAAGTCATCATCCTCCTCGTCTTGCCAATCATTGTGGAGCTCAAGAGGGCGTTTAATGTCTTGTGCAATGCGTACAAGTCCAGGGTCGCGATAGGACTGGCTCGATGACGCTGCAGGCCCATTTGCAGAGGAGGATCGAGAAACCTGTCCCGGAGTTGGGGCACGCGGCTGAAGATAGGCCTGCGGCGATTGCAGATACGGACTGTAATCCTCTTGGCGCCAGGAGCTTGAGCCCTTCGACATGCGCGAAGTGTACGAACTGCCCCGATCCACGCTAGTCGTGACTGATGAAGAAGAGTAAATGTTGGCACCGTCACTTCCGGGAGACATAGATGATCCGGAAGTCGAAGTTAAAGTGGAGGCGTTGCGGTCAAGGGATGGTTTGCCGTCGGGATAGAGCATGGATGCACTAAACGTGGACGACGTTGTGGAGCCCACAGATGTGGTGCGACCAACATCATGCGTTGATCGGGAAGCTAATCGATGTGCTTAGCACCCTAGCGTGCGATAAAGACAAGCCACTTACAGCGGTGTTGGGCAAACAGACTGGCTGCATCGTGCGGAGGTGAGTAAGTGCAAGTACTGGGCGTGTGTTCTACCGGGCTGGTATAGAGATCGTCCATTCCAGATATCCGATCGTCATCCATGCTTCCCTTATATGAAGGAATTCGCGGCGGCATTGCACCCGGAGGTGGACGGATGGGAGGCTGCCGGGGGGATACAATGTCACTTGACATAGAAGACATTCTTGATTCGCGAGAGTCACGGACTTCTGGTACAGGCATCTGCATTGGAGGTGTCCTCAACCTGGAACTGTCGGAAGAGCCCGGGCGAATCGAAGACCCGTACGACCGCGAGCCAGGACGCGAGTCGACAGTAGCTCCATTAAATGAGGGGCGCGACGAGGCTTGTGCGTATTGATACCCGTTCGATTGAAAGCCAGCACTATCCAGCGGAGGTTGAGGAAGCTTACGTCTGGGAATGGATTGCATGAACATGACATAGATTGCTAATTAATTCAGATGCACACGCACGATTCAGCGCTGGAACGCTTCGGTGGCGGAGGAGGCGGCAGAGTCTCATCTGGATAATAAGGCCGCGGCTCAGGCATAGCAGTATATAACATGGGTGGAGGTGGTGGTGGTGGTGGTAGAGGAGGGCTTGCGGGCGGTGGCGACTGGCCAGGTATGCGCGGCAGAGGCCGCGGTCCTCGCTGCGTCGGTGATTGAACACTGCTTGCTGGCGACACGGGCATTGATGATGATGGAAGCCCGCGAACTAAATAGTCATCAGTACCACATAGCATCGTAAGCGAGTTGAGACCCACAGGTCTGGGCCGAGGACACTGAGAGCGTGGATTGTTGACGAGCTAATGTGGGTGTACCGCCGTCGTCGCCGTACTGACTGTGGAGGTGTTCAAGTCCACCCTCACCGTTCTGCAGTGGGTTGTCCGTGGTAGGTGATTCTGCTCCGAATCCAGCGAGTACTTGCGCATACAGGCTGGCTAATTGCTCTTCAGAAACCGCAGCACCTGGCGGCATCACGTCGACGGGCTTGACGTCGAGTCAAACAGAAATGATGACCGCCGTCAGATGCACAGCTATTAGCACTGCTTCCTGAGCTATTTGAGGTGCAATATTGCCACGGAGAGTCAAGGCAGGAAACAAGCGTGATTCAGCCCCGAGCGCTGTTTCGAAGTCTGGCTGCACGTGATTTGGCAGTAGTCCTAACGTGTGGCAAGTTGCTGCAACGTACGTAGCTGAGCAATTCACCAGGAACCGTGAGCGAGTGTAGATCTACGAGGAACAGATAGAAAGAAAGATACGAATCAGTTGTTGCTGTGCCAGTCACCATATTGATCTACTGACACGGTCGTTAGCGTCTCGATCACGTGCAGATTCCTTTAGATCGTTCCGGATTCCGAGATTTTCTTTCAGAAAAGAGTATCAAGTGGCTACACAAATTACCTCACGGTTCAAAACGATTCGAGAAATCGCATGACAGCCCAGGGTGACCTGTCACCGGACAACAAGAGTCAGGTGAAATCGAGGACGGCGTCCTCTGTGCATGATGTAAAAGCAGAAAACCCGCCATTCGGCTCGAGGTAAGCAGTCACTATACATGAATCAATAACGAATGGGCCAGGCTCACCTGCTAGCAAGCAAGATTTCTCACAGATGATGCCGATGTGTGGAGTCAAAATGCGTGGGATCATGTTCCCCCTCCTAATGACCAAGGCGAAATCATCGCCTCGGCTCTCGCAAAACAAAGGAACGCACCTGTCCCAGAGAATGAGAAACAAAAGTACTACGAGAAGCCTGCTCGACATTGGTATTCAATATGCTGCCAAGTGATATGACTTTCTCAACGTATAGACAGGGACAATTTCTACAAAATGAATTCTAGTAACTTCTTCCGCGACAGAAAATGGTACGTTCACAAGAGAGTTATCCAGGTGTACGATGTTTACGGAGCTCAGGCTTCATCTCGAGTTCCCGGAACTGGTGGAAGCTGCCGAACCAGAGGTATCAGCGGATCGACATAATCACGTTATACGAGCTGATATCTATGCAATTTCTCTAGGCAGGAGCAGTGACAATTGCGGAAATTGGCTGCGGTGAGAATATTCTTCTTTACGGTCACAAAAGCATGAACGATATGACCTTGATGGCAGGCGCCGGAAACGCTGTGTTTCCTCTGTTGTCTGCGAACAAGAACCCGCAGCTGTCATTGCGGGCTTATGACTATTCGTCACATGCGATCAAATTAGTCCAGGTAAGAAATTGTTCTCCGGGTAGCCGACAGAACCATAACCCTTACATGAACCAGACAAATCCGTTATACGCAGCACCTCCTGTCGGCTCCATCCACGCTGCCGTTTGGGACCTCACATCTTCCGAACTACCCCCTGGAACTGATGTAGAAAGCGTAGACATAATCGTCTTGATTTTTGTGTTTAGTGCTCTACAACCTGCCGAGTGGCGAAAGGCCGTCACAAATATTCATAAGGTACGGATCGAGTGCATTTTCTTGATACACTTTTGGTTGTCTAACTCGATTAAAATTGGCAGATACTGAAACCTGGAGGGCTGCTACTTTTCAGGGACTATGGACGACATGATCTCGCTCAATTACGCTTCAAAAGTGGCAGATTGCTGGAGGACAACTTCTACATCCGTGGGGATAAGACAAGAGTGTATTTCTTCGAGTTAGGTACGTTAGTATCCAAAACGTGTGCGGGCCGAGCCATTGACATCGAGTATCTATCTCGTCAGACGAGCTAGCCTTGCTGTTCACAGGAGCGCCGGCTCCTGCCGCATCAAGATCGGAGAAGGAGGTTACGATCGTAGAGGAGACCGACGAAGGCGCCGCGGAACGTTCGCAGTCTTCAGCCCAAATCCAGCGCCTTTCTTCTGCGTCCCCCGCGCCGTCACCCGACGATTCAGGCGCGGCTGTTCCGACTCTCGACATAAAAGAGACATTGCTGTCCCCTTCCCCTACTTCCACGCAGATACATCCATCTCTTCTTGAATCGTTCTCCCCGGGCATAGGACTAGCCCATCCCCTATTCGCCATCCAACAGCTGGGTGTCGATCGCCGCTTGATTGTGAACCGGAAGAGACAGCTCAAGATGTATAGGGTGTGGATGCAGGCAAAACTCCGGAAACTCGTGCCGTCGGGTCAAGCGTAGTTGCAGCGCGCACATCGCACGGTAGATGCTGTGCAATTATCACTATACCATTCGCCTTGTCGATAAGCGATCTTCGCGGGTTTGGCTAAATATAGGGTTTTGCGAGAAGTATCGGTTGCGTGTGGCTCTCCGCTGGTTTCATACCCAGACCTATTTACTCACACCCCACACCGCAGATGGGGTGTGAGTAAATAATCTGGGGATGAGATCAGCTCTCCGCGCGTTCCGCACCTTTTCACAGTGATATGCGCCTCACAAGCCGTAAAGGAGACGGATCTCGTCGAGCTTCACAGAAGGGTTCAATATCATTCAGAAGTTCATATAGATGTCATTTCTCATAGTACCATGAAGCTACAGTAATAATAGCGTGAGACAATGATTACGTCGTAAGTACAGTGTAAAGATATCTTGATCATTGCATCCACGAACAGTACAAAAAGTCATGGAGAGATGACTCTAGAACAGGATGTTTGCGATCTTCTCCCAGATATTCTTCGGCGGAACTTCCGGGATTTCCGTCTCCTCCAAGGTTGGAATGCCCTCATGAACGGAGAAACACTCAATCCTGATATCCACGGAAGTGATGAGCAGTGCTTACCGTGACGAAGTCCATCTCTTCTGGCCTCCAATACTTCGTACGCTTGACGACCTTCCAGAAGACATACGCGCCGAGGAAAAGCGGAAGGCTAATATCTACAGATGGTGATTAAGCTATTAATGCCAAGTGGATGGGCTGGCGAGGACGTACAGTCTGTCAGAAAGTCGGAAGCGTTGAAGGACCAGAACACTGCATAGCCAGTGATCAGAATGAAAATCGTGAGCCAGAAGATCGACCAGATTGCAAGATATGGCTGAAGGCGGTTCCAGTAGGTGAGCTGCTTTCGGTCGATTCCTTGCACTTTCAAGCCTTTGTCTATGTCCACGGGTGTTAGCATGCGAATTTCGACGCAGCTACGGCCGGGACAACTTACAGAAACGCAGGTATGTAACGCACATTGCACCCCAACTAAAGAAACCGCTGGTCGTTGAGAGGTTCTGCAACCATCTGAACGAGTCATTAGTTCCAGAATCCATCAAAGAGCAGAGGCGCAAGGCGTACAGGAAAACAGTATTCGCTCCCGAAGAAACACTCATGAAGGACAGGAACGCGAAGCATGAACAAACAAGAACAGACACGATCGGGAGGCCTTTCTTCGTGCAGTGAGTAAGGAATCTTGGTGCCTGCCCGCGGAGAGCCAATCCGTAGAGAATACGGGAGGAGGAGAACAGGAACGAGTTGCCCGCGGAGAAGGCGGAAGTGAAAATGAGAGCGTTGATGACAGAGGGCAATGCAGAAATGCCGGCACGCTGAATAGCGATGACATAGGGAGACTCTGCCGCGGTACCAGTGTCGGAGAGCAAATTTGGGTCATTATACGGCACAAGCATGCCAGTAATCAGTATTCCGAGGATCTGCGGAGCGCAACTTCAGCGGCAATGGTCGGAGCACGCCAAGAACGGATGACTAACGTAGAAGATGAGAATGCGCCAGAACACCCTGCGGACAGCCTTGGCAATGTTTCTGCGAGGACTCTCAGTCTCGGAGGCAGCGCTGAAAGTGCATTTATTAGCCACGCAATACGGAACATTCTATGAGACGATACGCACATTGCTACTAACTCCATTCCCTGGAACGAGAAGGCAGCCTGAACGATGACAGAAAGGAAGCCGAGAAACTTGTCGAGCGGGAGGCGGTTTGGCACAAGATCAGATGGTGCAAATGCACCGGGGTCCTTCCAGTACTGCGGAACAAGTTATGACTGCCCGAGGCGAATTTTGTGAATTTCCTACGTACGCGGAAACCGATACGATCGTGGTTGGGTCCGCCTCCCAAATCAATGACCAATCCCGAGATGATCAACATTGTGATCAATGCGACTGAAACCACCCTACGTTACTTCACTTTGAGCAATCCAAACGACTGACACTCACTTTTGATTATCGAGAAGAAGAATTCCGCTTCACCAAACCATCGCACGCCGAAAATATTGATGGCACAGACACAAACAGTGACTACAGCAGTGTACGCTGCTTGATGGTGTTGCTACGGGTATGTGGTAAATTAGAGTTTTGTGAAGGAAGGTAGATGCATAGTGCTTACATTAGAGTCCCAGAACGTGAGCAGAATACATGCCGCGGTAATCTCAGTCGGTGTGGAGATTGCACACGAATAAAAATAGTTCCATCTGATCCAGGTGTCAGACACGAAGACGAATGTGACTGATACTGGTAAATCAACAAGACGTACCCTAACGCGAAACCGAGGGCAGGGTCCGCCCACCGAGCGGCGTAGTGTGGGAAGGTGCCGGAAATCGGAGCAAATGAGGTCATCTCTCCCAGACTGCACAATGTCGCGTAGCCCACCGACCCGACAAGGGCATATCCTATCAAAGCACCGGCAGGACCACCCTCTGCTAGCGCATGACCAGAACCGAGGAAAAGACCCGTCCCCAGTGTCCCAGCAATCTAGTAAACATAGACGCCCGAAGCCATTAGTTCAGACGACAGTATGAATACGTGGCAAAAGGATGACCTACAGCAATCATCTGTACATGGCGCTGTTTCAGTCGTCGCTGGACGCGGTCAAGATCGATAGCATCGAAATGGTAGCGAGGGTCGGTTTGGATGGCTAGTTCACCGGAGCCCCCCTTCTCGACTGAACTGCTGTCTGTCTTGTGGTCCAGTTGCTTCTCATATGACATCCTTCGTTGCGTTTGGTGTAGAGCGTCGGAATCCATGAGAAGCGGTCGCAAAGCGTGGAAGAAGAGGACACAGCTAAGGAAGCGCCGCTATCTGGGTCTCCCATATAAATCGTCTATCGGAAGCCTGCGTGAGAAGCATCATATGGCTTTAGACAGAAGCGCCGAGGAAAACTTTTGCGATAAGCGGAAAATGGACGCCACCGATGCTTTTGAAGTATGGTTTGATGGCAATCCCACCCAAGTTCCGCCGAGGCACGTCAGAAAAAAACCTGGATTACACAGACGGCCGGACAATATTCCGTCCGAGTGGTTTGGTGGGAAGCTCCGGCACGCTCGGTCGTCGACAAGCCGAAGTTCCCGCCGACAGAGAGCATAACCTCCACCCTGATTGCATCCACGTACAGATGCCGCGTTGTAAATCGATCGGATCGAAGACCGCATCAAATTCCAGGAAGCGGGAAATTTCGAATTTAGCCAGTCGTAGCCGCCATCATTGGTTCTTCACGCGGAAAATGGGATCTGGATAGATCGTTGCTGCAGGGAGGCGCCAGCGCCTATCTGCTGCGCTTAAGGTGGCACACGACACTGTTGTTGGGGAACGCGAGCCCTGCGATTGCGGACGGGCAACGCAAGCTCAATGCGATAAGACGTAATTAATGTCCTACGGATCTGGAATTCTCTCGCCCTGGACAGTACGAGAACGCTTTGCAGCGAGTGCACGGTCGTCATATGCGCTATCTAAACGCCCAACGCCCGCAGACCACGAGTCGCAACAGTTTGGTGAGACGCGAAAAGATGTCAAGGTGGCACTCACCTCACTTCGCCAAGGCTATGCGTATAGCCAAGGAAGGTCATGCCCATCTATCACCTGAGATCCTGTGGAGGAGAAGACGCCCTTCTTTTGGCAGCAATTGTCCCTTATGGGTAGAGCTGTCAAGATCTCCAGAGGTGCATGGACTAAGTCTGTAAGCTGGCAGTGCAGTGCCACGTCGCTGTATAAGGATAAAAAGACAGCTGACCGTAAGTGGTATGATGACAGCACCGCCTGGGTGGAGATGTTCAGAATCCGGTTAAAAGAGCCGAGGAACACATGCAAGGTTTTTTCAGGAACCAGATAACGAGGAGATTTGTTGCTTCGTGGGGCGGCAAGCGCAAGCGAACTCTCGGAAGGCGCAGCATGCCAACACCGACCGACCACAGGTACGAAGAGATACCGTTCAAACGGAGATGCGCATGTAATTGAGATGCTTCTCCGTTCTTGCGCCTTCATCGAGCCCTAACATCTCATACTGTAGGTTACTGGTGCACAGGGATTCTTGGCGGCTGAAATGGATATTGAACAACGGCCGAGACGTACAGTTTCTATTGCCCTTATGCGATCGCCGAGGTGTCTAGTTACGTCCGTCTCGACTAGGGTCGGTCCGCAACCATTGGGCAACATCATGACCGCATGATATCGCGTGCCTGTATGGTGGTTATGGATGGGCTAGAGCTAACGTGTTGCACAATCATTGGAATGGCCTTGCCTAGCCTGGAGATCCCACACGCAGCGCACAGGTTAAAGGCCGAAACCAAAAGGCTGACCGCTAGAGGTTGAAATGCGATGCAATGTCAAGTTCGTCATCCGATCAAATCGTATGGGGATGGCGCATTCACGATTTTAAATGAAAAATGCCAGGTTCTACCGACAATAATGTTCGTCGAGCGACAGCGTCAGGCGGCCGGCAGTCATGGCGCGCACATACGCCAAATATTGGCGCAGAAGAAAGCTTGCTCGATTCGACGTGACTGCTGCTAACGCAGGAGGAAATTGTGATCATGGAAGGAGTAGCGGAGAGGAGACTCTCGATGAGTCACGGTCGCGACGCGTTCAATATTGCCCACGTGATCGACCCAATTCTGCCCTTGCCTTGATCAGACCGGCGTTAATCTCAAGTACATGCACTGGAAGTTGTCGACGAACCAGCATGACGAGTAGACTCAAGCGCAAGCTCAATGACCTCGGCGTCGACCCCTCAAGTGCAAAGGCGAACGAGTCCTTCTGCTTGGTGCGTACGGCATCATGATGGGTTTCTCCTTGTCGATGCTATAGCTTTGCTTCAGATTGGGACACCGCTGCCGCCCCTCGAGAAGTCCAAGGATACTGGCGAATTCGTGCCATTATGGAAGCAAGAGGTGTGTGTTTTACTTCATAATATGATTTAGAGAAACCGACATCTGTCCCGTTGTGATGATACAAAGGTGCGGGATGAGAAGGGACGAAAGCGGCTACATGGAGCGTTCACGGGAGGCTTCTCAGCTGGTTACTTCAACACTGTTGGGTCAAAAGAAGGTATGCATGCACACACGCATGAATGAGTTGTTGCATTTACAAACTATGTCGCAGGATGGGCTCCCTCGACGTTCGTTTCTTCGCGATCCGGCCGGGCCAAGGCGAAAGTCGCGCGTCCCGAAGACTTCATGGACGAGGAGGATCTCGCAGAACTGAGAGAGGGTCGGAAACTGGTAGACGAGAGCGAGGAAATGGACTTCGGTGGCACAGAAGCTGAACTACAACGGCGGGCAGGCGCAGATGTGGACAAGGAACTGGAGAATGAGTGCGTGTCTCATGATACTAGGGCATTATGACCAGGCTGACAATCGCAACTTAGACCCATTACTGCTGTCCTGGAAGCCTCGCTAGCCCCCGCCCCTAAAGATTCTGTTGGTGCGCGAATACTTAAGAAGATGGGCTGGCGTCTAGGCCAAGGTATTGGTCCTCGTCTCACATACGCACAGCGGAAAGCGCAGGATGCAGGCCGCTACGATGCAGTTGGAGAGATGGCAGGAGATGAGGAGGATGAGGAGGCGGCGAAGCACCTATATCCGCGGCGAGACACGCCCGTTCTGCTGGCCTCGCGCAAGGGTAACTTCCATGGGCTAGGCTACGTCCCTGGCATGCGGTTGGAGGAACATATTGGCACCGGGCGGGGTGACGAGCGGGAGAGAGGCCCGCGAATAGCGAGTGCGTACTGTTGTGCTGATGTTGTCTTTGAACGCTCAGCGATTTTCCATCTTACTCACAGCTGGATTCGGTCTTGGCGCACTGAACGAAGCTGACGAGGACGATTTGGATGTATATGATAGTGGCATAGCTCGCCATCGACATTCACATCTAGCATTTGATGCTGCGGATGAAGATAACGGCAGGCCCGTTACTATGGGCGGTTCTAGCGCTCGTCAATCGACGCATGCGCATGAAAATGTGAGTCAAGCCAATATTCATTCAGACAACGAGCCGTACTAACGACTCTTTGGACAAGAGAGTAACGACTGGGGTGTTTGCACAAACGTTCAACGATGGCCGCCCGGTACTGAAGGGCTTTGTGCTGTCTGATCGGCCAGTCTCTGAGGACCGTTGGTATGTAATCGGAAGCATGGACGATGCTACATGTCGTAACACTGCCACAGGTTCCCCCTGCCGGAAGTGCCAAGGGGTTGGACTCCCAATCCTCACAGGGTCTGGGAGCAGGACACGAATAAAGAGAATATCAAGCATGAAATCAGCAGCCATGTTGCTCCTGGGAAACCGCAGACACACACTCAATGGAAGGAGAGCTTCATATCCGCGGATCAGGTAATTCATCTCGCTCATATTGATCTGTCAACTCAAATTGCATCTCGTATCTATCTAGCGAGGATCGATATTGGGCGAGATGCCGTTGCCATCCGAACCGCGTTCTATATTTGAATACATGTCTCAGAAAGATAGGGAGCGATTGCAAAATATCAAGAATGCAATCTCCGGTCCGTCATCCACTGCGCCTTCCCCAGCGGCCCCGCCTCCCACACAGCATGTGCCTGGGGAGATAGATATACCATATATCCATCCCTCAGTCGCCAAAGCGGCCCTACAAGGCTTTCAGCCCTTCATCACTGATCCTGTCAAACAGTCCCGCTACACTGCCTTCCTTTACTTTCAAGCCTCACGCGGATCCGTGGTACCCGGAGCTCCGAATGAGACCGGTATTGGGATTGGCCCCACTCCAGGACAGTCCATTGAGGAGTTAAACAAGGAGCTTGATGACTATGCGAAGGCGGCGGCGGTGTTCAAGCCGCTCTCGGGAGCTATGGCAGACCGTTTTCGGAGCGCAGTAGTGGTTGAGATGGGCCCGGCCATTGTGGAGGGCCTCCGTCACCCCACGCACTCTAATCTGGAAGAGGAGCAGCAGCCGGAAGTGGAAGAAGAGAAGAAGGAAGAGGACCCCAAGATGGGCGCCGTGCGGCTAGGGATGTATGGCCCGCTGACACGGGAGGTGCAGCCGTGGCAGCCGGCGCGGTTACTGTGCAAGCGTTTCGCTGTCAAGGATCCTGAGGTGGATATGAGTGGCGCGGAGGGGACAGGCAATGCTGACTTTACCCCGACGGCCGCGGTGAAACAAGGCACACAGGCGGATGCGGCGATGTCAGAAGCTTCGGTTATCACGTCGGGCTTGGTCAGTGCGGGCGCGATAACGGATGGGTCGAGCGGTGGCGCGCAGAAGAAGGGTACCGTGGACTTGGCGAACGTGGGACTAGGGGAGGACGACGATCAGGGGCGCGACACACTCACGTATCAAAGACCGGCCATGGACGTTTTCAAGGCGATCTTCGCTAGTGACGAGGAAGACAGCGAAGACGAGGTTGCAAGTGAGAATCCGGAGAAGGCCTACAATAAGGTGGATCTTGACGAGACGTCTGCCCCACAGCCTGGCGTCCAGGTCGAGGCGGAAATGGTACCCTCCCATCTCACTGCTGGCGATTCAACTACCGCGTCTTATGTACTTGCGAAGGAAGGCGCCGCGGCTACTTCTACATTGCCGGAGAAAGTGGACCTTGCATCCTTCAAGCCCACATTTGTTCCGCGCTCTGAACGAGAATCTCGCAAAGATAAGAGCAAAGACAAGGATAAGAAGGAGAAGGACAAGAAGAAGAAGTCGGCAAACAAGGCCACCCTTATGTCGTTTGATGTGGAAGAGGACGGCTTCGGGCTCAACCTTGGCGCGGTGCGTCGAGAGAAGGACAAGGACAAGGAACGGAAGAAGAAGAAACTCAAGGAGCACAAGGAGAAAGAGGAGGACGACAGTATGTGGGTGGAGAAGCCACTGCCAGAAGCAGTGAAGAGCATCGTGATGGACATCTCTCCGCCTGATGTGCCTGCGCGTGCGTCAGCCGAGCCGTCACCAGTCGTTACTGCGGAAGGAGAGGTGAAAGGTCCACGGGGGAGAAAGAGAGCGATAGATTTCATGTAGTAGCATACGCATTCACTGTATCCATAGTGCATTATCTATATTTCCACTCCTTTCCCCTCCTCCTCCTGCTGTTGGTAACTCTGCTCTTCTTTCTCCTCCTCGTCCTGCCCATCATGATCCTCTTCCTCAGCTGACTGCAATGCAGCGTCCTCTGCCGTGCTCTCATGTTCCTCATCATTTTCATTCCGCTTGCGCTTCCCAGTCGCAATGCTCTGCTTGGCAGGCTCACCATCCGCCAAGGCGAGACATGTCAGTCGAGAGCCCTTGGTATCGTACTGGGCGACCGGATGTAACTGAACCTTCTCGTCATAAATTTCTGGCAATGCTGCCATATCATACAGGCGGACTCTGCCATCTGAAGAGATGGTGCAGATTACCGTAGTTGATGATCGGGATGCGGAGGACGGCAGAGAAATATCAAGTGTGTCGACAGACTTGACGCTGAAAATAGGTCAGCAAATAGATGCTACGGATGCAAGGACCTTAAACAGACCGATTGGAATGCCCAACCATCTCGGCAATTATGCTAGGGGTGACTGTTCTATCGGATGGGATATCGTATACCGATACCTTTTTGTCCTCGGCTGCGACAAGCAGGACTTCTCCCTCCCCGACGACGCGTTTGCAGAATCTGACAGCATGTAGCCGTGAGGGATGTATTATGGTGTGTAGGAGTTCCATGTCCTGCAAGCAGCATGAGCAGGTTGAAACCAAACGGCACGAGTCCGACTCACGGTGGAGTAGATGTCGATAGTTGACTGCGTCAGAACGACAAAGAGGGAGCCATTAGTGGACCAGCAGACGATCTCAGCCTCTGCTCGACAGCTTTAGCGCATGCACTGCAGCAAAAACAGGCTGACAGACGTACCCTTCCCAAGCTTCGTACTCGCAGACCCTTTGCCGCGCATCAGATCCCACATACGCAGCGTTCTGTCTTTCCCTACACTCAGCGCTAGCTTCCCGGACGGGTGTACAGCTACGGAGTTCACGCGGCCTTTGTGCCCTTTGAGAGCGCGAAGCACTGTCCAGTCTCGAGCGTGAAAGAGGCATAATGAGCCGTCTTCGGAGGCAGAGAGCAGATGGGATCGCGATGGGAATTCAAGATGAGTAATGGAGCCTAGTATGTTGTGAGGAAGTGCTAATCCCGACCAGTTGACGAGACATACCTTCATGGTGCATCAAACCGCCAACTTCTTTCCTTTTGCGAAGATCCCATACCTTGATTATCTCGTCTCCGCTTCCTGTTGCCAGCCACTTGCCGCCATGCGGCGATGCGGCAACTGCACGTATAGAGGATATATGTGCAGGAAATATGAAGATGGGCTCAAGGTCGAACTGGTAACTCGGGCCTTCAGCAGAAGTGGATCCCTCCAGACCATAGAGCAGCTTCTCGTACGATCCAACTGTGACTTTGAATGTGGCAGGCAAGGGAGTTCGCGCATCTTCGTCATCATCATGTAAAGATGCGATATGTGATTTAAGTGGTGCCGGTGTGGATGCTCGTTCCTTTCCCTTGACAGACCGGGGAACGGGTCGGGCCTCGGCGGTCGGTGCACCTTTTTGTTTCGCAATAGAAACTATGCGCGATCTCTTTGCTGCAAGAACATTTGTGGGTACTCTTGCCTTCTTGTGGGATTTAGTTAATACTTTGTTCGTCATTGTTGGTATCGTATTCACGTACTGTTCAAGTGGCCTTTAGCTGAGTGCGCGGTGCTGAATGAACATGCGAAATCTTACACGATAAGAGTCTAAGTCGTCCTGAGCTCGGATATGCCTGCCGCAAAAGGGTATCGTCTAGGTTGAACCTTGCGAAGGGGAATTAGAACTAGTATTGCATGCAGCAACGATTGTACTGGGCGGGCGGCCTTCGACATAAATTTCAGATGGCAGTCAATTGTTTGCACCTATTAGGATTCAAAGCTCTTGCACAACAAGGGCAAATAGCCGTATCTGAGGCGCCGACCGTCCTGTTGAGCCGGCGATGCAGCATGTTGAAGTATGCATCGAACACCCGCTCGACGTTCCGTAATGCTTCTACAAAACACTCAGTGGCTCGTGCTCGTCGGCTATCGTGGTGGCATTCGGCCGACGTTGCCAACTCTAGCGTCAATGCCTTGGTCTATGCAGAGTCTGGCATGCCGCAGTCCACTGACGTCGGATTGCCCCTTCACAATGTCTCCGTCGCTGTGAAGGACAATATATGCACATCCACAATGCCCACTACGTGCTCTTCTGCTATGCTGCAAAATTTCACGTCACCTTTCGATGCAACCGTTGTCACTCTGATGCGGCAGGCCGGAGCGGCGATCATTGGCAAAACTAACTGCGACGAGTTCGGCATGGGGTATGTAGTATGTGTTCATGTATCAAGCACTCCAATGAATGAATGCATAGCTCGCTCAATACATATTCCGTACATGGCCCAGTGATCAATCCTTTCCAAACTCCTCACAGCACCGTCTCGTGGGTTGACCGCGAGCGTCGGTCTGCCGGTGGAAGCTCTGGAGGAAGTGCGGCTGCGGTAGCGGCTGATATGTGCAACGTGTATGAGCATATCTGAACTGTTTCAATGGTGCAAGGGCTAATGCCTCAGGAAGGAAAGTGCCTTAGGCACTGACACTGGAGGATCTACCCGATTGCCTGCATCGTACTGTGGAATCGTAGGATTCAAGCCATCTTATGGCCTTATCAGCAGGTATGGAGCTCGGTGCCTTGAGAATATCCACAACTGAGGACCGCCTCCTATAGATGGGGCGTTGTGTCATATGCTGACAGCTTAGATTGTGTCGGTATCATGGCGCGAGCTGTGGACGACGTTGAGAAGGTGTTCGGTATGTTTGCTCCTCCATTCTGTTGTGCTATTACCTCATATATGCTTTGGCAGATGTCTTAGTGGAGTACGACCCTAAAGATCCGACCGCTGTACGTCCCGCAACGAGGCGGAAGGCCTCACAAGTCTGCGATGAACATTACAAGCATCTCAATCTAGGAGACTCGCTTGTGGGGTTGCGCATTGGCATTCCTCAGGTGCCGTTTTCTCCATCTGATACCATTGAGCAAATGGCTAATGCCGTCTCAGGAGTACTTTCCCGCAGAGTTGAATACCAGTGTGCTCGGACCATTGCGGCAAGTGCTGGCGCACCTACAATCCCGAGGTGCACAACTGGTCCCTGTCTCTCTACCTTCCGCACCATACGCGCTCAGTGCATACTACGTGATCTCCAGCGCAGAGGCGAGTAGCAACATGGCGCGGTACGATGGTATTCAATATGGTAAGTACTGCGAGGCCTATGATAGTTGCCCCGCCTCATCATGCTCCGCATCAGGCCTCCGCGTCGATCCTCCCGCAGAAGCAGACAAAACGAAAACAGCGAACGTGTATGCACACTCTCGCTCAGCTGGTTTCGGCAAAGAGGTGCAGAAGCGGATCTTGCTCGGGACATATGCGCTCACTGCAGAGTGAGTCATCAATAGGCACAAATGGACCAGCTCCTTGGCTGACGGATTCCTAGTGCATTCGACAACTATTTTCTCCAGGCGCAGCGCGTGCGCAAGCTCATTCGGCAGGACTTCGACCGTGCCTTCCGCGTGCCCAACGTACTCTCGTCTCAAACTACCTCACCAAGTTCTGCCTCTCAGGCCGAATCGGACCGTGTTCATGTCCTGATCCATCCCTCAGCAATTCGCACCGCGCCGCCTCTTCCAGCTCCTGGTTCGGCGACCGATGGCGAAGGAGGAACCTTGGACACGTATGTGCAAGACGTGCTCACAGTGCCTGCCTCTCTGGCTGGGTTGCCCGCGCTTGGCGTGTCAGCGGGCTTCGGCGAGGATGGATGGCCCGTTGGCGTGAGCATCGTGGGTCAGTGGGGTTGTGATAAGATGGTGCTAGATATCGGCAGGCTATGTGCAGAGTGCGCAGCCTGAGCAGTGGCGGACCGAGCGTCACATTCGCCTTCCTTGCAGCTAGAAAAGACATCCTATACTAGTTGCTTTAAGTACATAAATAATGCGAGAGATGAATACTACACTACGGAGCGATATATGACAGTGAATGCCTAGAGATTGCACAATACAACATTAAGATGAGACATTACCAGTTTAGAGAGAGAATATATCTTCTGCATATGAGCTCGGCTGTGCGAAATCAACGACTCCGTCGAGAATCCCCGTCTCCTGCATGAGAGACACCCACTGGTCGCTCATGACAACATCTCCAGGGAAAGACGGCATTGTGTATACGTTGCTTTGCATGGGCGTGTTCAAGTCTGGAGAGAAGGGTGGCAATGATTGGTAGGCAGGATCGCTGAGCAGACTATTCAAGAAGTCGAGCTCGCTTTGTGTCATTGACACGTTCTGGCCGGGCTGAGCAACAGGAGGCTGCATCGGCGGTTGCACAGGAGGCTGAGGACACATTGTTGACACTTCGTTCACGTGCATTTGTGTAAGGTCAGCGGCTTGGAACGGGGAAGATGCTGGCATTTGAGAAAGGTACGTCATCAACGACGGATGGAACTCCGGCGACGGCGACGTTCCTTTCTCGCTCGGCGTGGAGGCGGTATTGGAGGATGTCGGAGACGGTGCCTGCGAACCTTGACTGCTTGACCTATTGCTGTCAACCGAACGTCTCACCTGGCGTTTCCTAGGGACCGATTTGGTTGGCAGAATATTTGTCTGGCCCCCAAAGATAGCGAGCGCAGTCTGGTAGTCTTCAGAAATCTTCTGGATGCCGTTTGTAGGGTTCAGGTGCCTGTCCCGGTATTGCGTGTAGGCTTGGGTTGCTCTCTCCTTCAACTTCAGCAGTATTGGCTACGTGCAAGCAACTATCAGTAACAGTGAGGACAACAAGATATGCAATCCGCGTACCAGACCCTGCTTGGCGCGCACGGATTTCGAGGCTCCTCTCTCGAAAACATCAACAGCCAGGTCCAATTCCATCAAAGCACTAGGCGCAAGACTTGACTGAGGCATACGGGCCACCGTCGCGCCGATGATTATCTTACGCGGATTCCTTTCATATCTCAACGAGTAGAATTTGTGCCAAGACGACTTACCGCCGCAGAGAAGGCATGGGTCCACATTCCCCAAAATCGAGAGCACAGCTCGCCGCAGCGCTCATGGTGGTGGATGAACGACTTCAAAAGAATCGAGGCACAGCGATTCGCTGCCAAGAACGACGGAGCGTATGGACTCGATAGGGGATTTGTGGGGTTGTCCAAAAGAGCCTGGGCGAAGAATGTCCTATGGATATGAATCATCGCTATTGCATGGTACGCGAGGTTGTTAACAGGTGTACGAAGAAGCAGACCAGAATGACTCAACTGAGCGAGCGGTAGTGGGACATGAGATAGCTCTTCATGCACAAAGCAGGGTTGTTATAGTCGTCGTCATCAGGCCTCAAGTAAAGCTTCACTGCAGGTAGCTGGACCTGGCGAATCCGTCTGTCCAGCTCAAGGATTGCAGTGTAGCTGGGGGCTTTGGCGGACAGCATAGAATCCACAACTGGAGAGAAGACCTCACGAGAGAACACCATCTTGAAATTCCAATCTAGGTCGCGAATCAGATCGAGAACATCCGATAGGCAAGCGCAACTACTATGAACGTACATCCTGACATCTTCTCGCCATTCTCGGCGACACAATCCTCATCATCTTCCGGCAATTCACAATCTGCGTGCGCGAGGTTCACCGAAGGGGGTCGCCCCAGAGCTATGCACTTCCAGTACGACTTGAGTTTAGCAGATGATTCGAGGTGCTCGCAAACGTACGTGAACCAGCTCAAAAAGGAATATCTCCCAGAAAAGATTTCTTCGCCTTTGTACCGCTTTATCCTCAAGCTTCCACTGCTTGCTATCACGGTCTGGCAAGGCATATTTAGCGGCAGTACAAAGTGTGTTAAGACTACGAACGTACGCAACCCGATCTAAAGGATAATTGTACCACATAAGCCAAGTAAAGGTGAAATAAGCTGAGGGACATACACTCTGGGCCAGTTTGGTGGCAAATGAGGATAATGTCCAAGCGCTCTCAATACTATATCGGAGGGTACAGAGACTATGGTATGCAGCCATCATGATCATAGCTTGTACCGTTTCGATCTCGGGCGAGTCCAAGATAGACTTCATGGACAATGCAGTACGTCCAAGTCGGTAGTACTTCTCTGCCTCCGGACTACAAGGTGGCAGCGTCAAGTCTACGAGTGCGCCGACAGCGAGGACGAAGAATAGAACTGCAAGCAGGTGCGGGCAACGATGAGTATCTTGCAAGTGGGGATGATAGGCAGCCCTTGATTTTGCGGGGTCCTTGATGGCATTGTAGATAGGCGTCAGGATATCATCGATGAGCTCGTCGCGCTTGATCGGGCGGCACCACCATGTGAAATGCGCTACGTAGGCCTCACACAATGCCCAAGCACGAAGTTGCGGCGGTAGTTGAGACTCCAGGTGGTCAAGTAGAACCTCAAAGTTGTCTTCCACAATGGCGAGAGGAGACGTAAGACGTAGGTTCTCTAGCTCAGGCGGAAGCGATTCGAGGTCATCTTCGGAATCCTCGATCGTAGCACGATTGGCCTAAGACGTCGTTTGAATGAACAATCCTCGCGCGAAGTGTCACAACGGGTGCTCACCAAAAATAGGGTCTTTACGTACGATCACAAGCATGAGTGAAGCAACAATCAGTGGCACTGAGAAATGCGCGCACCTCTGATCCTCCAGACCGTCCAAAGTACTTCGTCTCGCCGTGATCACCAATCGTCAGGGTGCCGAGAGCGTCAATAGATTGTGACAGCTTCTCTCTCGTATGTTCTTCGTCCACCGTCCGACGGACCTCGGGACCGAACTTGATAGTCAAGAGTTCATCTCGTAGGAGCGGATGTCGTTCATTAGATACACCTGCCTGGAAGATCGCCACTGCGTCCTCCAGCTGTCGGATTCGTTCACTCATCTCGGATATTTTCCGGTGCAATTGCTCCGTATCGGCAAGGATGAACCTGTGGAGAATTGGGAAACAGATTTGAGAGCGAAAGTCGTCACAACGTACCTCGTCCCCTGCCCAGCAGACAAGCTGCCTGACCACAGACGTAAGGACAAATGAGACTACTTCTTAGCCAAACTCACCATTCGGACAGATCGTCGTGCATCCTCTACGCACGCATGAACCGCAAGGAAGTTTCTTGTCGCACTTCAGCTTCAATCTGCTCTGACATAGGATCAGCTATGCTTCGGACGACACATGCCGGTCCACGATGAAGACGCACCGCCGGCATTCTGCACATGAAATCTCGCCACGAGCTCGTTTGACCTCGATCTCCTCGTCATTGTTGCTGCTCGTCTTCCGGGAAGCACGACGTGTTTCTGAGGTACGCTCAGCGGGCATTGATGGTGGGACCGAAAAGACGTTCAGTCACAGGGGATGACTCAATTGGAATTTCTTCCTTTCGACAAACTTGGGATGGCCTGACTAATGAGTTGTAGATGGGTCCTATTGGGGATTGTGCGGGATGCAACATGCAAATATTTTGAAATGATGGATGCGGATCCAGGAATGGCCTGCGCAATTCTGTGAATATTACTCATGACTGCCGCTGAGTCCCCTAGTGAGCATGTGGCGTCCCTGTCATCAATTCTGTCGGCGCTTCTGGTCGGCGAAAATATTTTCGCTTCCGAAACGTCTGCCGAATTGCCGGATGTTCGCCACCGCCACTCACGTTCAGCGCCACTGGTCGGTCCGTCATTTGTAACATACTCCGCCGTCGGATCACAGGGAGCAGCTCGGTCCGAATGACTGCAAACTGGCCACACAGCCGGACAAAAGAATCCAATGCCAGACATATGCATATGTTATTCTACGACATAAGACTCAATCATTCCGAACAAACCGATAAAACCCCACATTGCAACGATTGCGTACCCGAGACAAATATTTAACGAACGTTGCTGCATGCAGATGGCAGCGTGAACATTACCGTGGCATCAGTTACCGTAACTCGTTTCATCAAGGAAACCTGCTTCATGCATCAACGACGTCCAACGCGGTTCGAGCGCCGAGTCTCGAGAAAGCCCCATCTCAGCGAGCGCGGGCGTCACGACGAATGGCGCTTGATGAGCGCCCTGGAAGGCAGCAGCGGCGGGGGAATACATCTGTTCGTGCTGACGGAACTCCTGTGTGACCGGCGGCGGCGGCGGCGGATGTGCAGAATATGGTGGGACAGGGCCCACTCCAGAATGCTGCAAATGCGCGGACGGATCCGGCGTCATCACAACATGGCCAGGACGCTGAGGGCCGGACCACCCGTGCTCGTGCGCCTGAGGTTGGGTGTAATCAACTTGCCGAAACCACGGATCTGATGCATGAGGGTGGTATGCATGGACTGGCGCTTGCTGTGAAACCCAGCTGCTGTGAGTAGAAGTGCCAGGCACAGGGTAGGATGGTGTCGAACGTCGTGGTTGTGGCGGTGCAAATGGTTGCGGGTGGCTCGTCGAAGACGGTATGGGCGGTGAGATGTGCACTGAACGGGAGTGCGGAGAGCTCTGTGCCTGTCTTGAAGGCGACTGACTGGACGGCAAGATGGTCGGCCCCCTCGTCTTCCCTGCGAAGATTTCTAGATCGTCTTGGTCGTCTTCGGGACTTTCGAATTTGACGTCCCACTGACTAGCGTCGTGAGACAAAGGCGTCGATGGATGACCGTGAACAGCAGCCAAAGCGGCTTCTGCCTTGTCTCTCAATTTAAGGATGGAAGTCTATTAATATAAAGTTATCATCGGAGGCTAGGCTGAAAACCGGGGCGGCGGGAGACTTGCCAATGCCCTATCAGCGCGGCGACTGTAACGTGCCGCCTGTCCGAAGAGCTCAGCCGCTATATTCAGCTCGGTCATAGCCTCCGACGCAATCGGTGATCTCGAACTACGAATGGCAATCATGCCAAACACCACCTGAGCAGGGCATGCATGAGTGCGGCTGATAGAGCTGTGAAAGAGTATTCGCTCACAGTAGCGAAGAACCCATACGTCCACACCGGCCAAATACGCGAGCACACCTCCGGATAGAGAGCAAACTGTTCTCGGATGCTCTTCAGGACTCTATGAGCAGCTCTATAGATAGACAGAAATGACTGTGCGTAAGTGCTTCTGGCTGGGTTTGTGGGGCAGTCAATTAACGTCTGGGCAAAAAAGCTGCGATGTATGTACAACAGCACTACAGGACGACACCAGTGAGCAAGCTGGAGTGGCAGTAGCCTATGAAGCGATTGCTCACAAATTTCTCGAGAGTGTGATATCACGAAGTATTGCATTGACGCCGTCATGGGTATCGGGTCGCTGTCAGGCGGAGGCGACAAGCCCTCCACTATAGCTGTGGCTTCCGGCGGGACGGGAAAATCACGGATTTGACGGTCCAAGTCCAGGATAGTTTCATATTGCGGTGGAATGGCTGACAGCGTTCTTATCGCGACCTCCGCCACGCAATGGTACGAGAATCGTGCGAACCATGATTGGACTGTCCATATAACGGAGATTAAAGCCACCTTGGTTAGCACGTGGCGTGTAATGGGCCAGTGAGTTATCACGTACAATCTGATTCATCCGGCTCCTCGTCAGGGGCGTTTTGGCTCCTAGGAAGCTGGCAGTCAATGTATACACGCGAGAATGATGGTGGTCGGCCGGTTGTCAGACTCTGAATTCTTATTTTCAGAAACAATGCCGCCACGTGGATCGACCCACATACCTGCCAGGAGTCTGCTTCAAAAATATTCCAGAAGATCAGACGCCGCCTGTTGACGAGGTCTGGTGGTAGATTCCATTTGCTACTGTCCCGATCTAGATATGTTCTTGTCAAGATCGGCCGCAACCATAAAGATGATACTCACGCAGACCTATCTGAACGCGCTCATAAGTTGAAACTCTGAAACGGTAAAAGCTCGCTGAACTCACAGTTTGTGAGATCTGCGTAGCTAGCGAGAGCAATCCCCATGACATCTCCATGCCGCTACCGCCAGGCCCGCTCTCGGTACCGGTCATTGCATAGTAGATACTGTACAGATGTAGAGCTTGTACGGTCGTCAAAGACGGCTTATCCCATACCGACTGAAGGCCCATCGCTGCCACAGCAAGCTGATGATAGTGTTCCGCATCTGCATTATTCAGCACAAGCGTGAAGTCTACCAGCGAGCCGACCGCGAAGATCAAGAGCATAAGCGCGAGATCGTGCGCTGCTCCGTAGTCCACCGGAGATGTACTCGATCCGCTTGCACCGCTCCCATAGAAGTACGGCAACATCTCGTCTATGACTTGTTGCTGGGGAACGGCCCGAAAGATCCAACCGCAACGTTCGAGGTAGAGATTTGCAAGTTCGTACGCTCTGTCTCGGCGTGGCAGGTGTTGTTCGAGTATCATGTCATACACCTCACTCGGCTGCCCGATGGGAGTGAAAGGAAATGCGGAGGAGAACCGCGAACCCGGTCCCTCCAGTATCGGCGGGCTTTCGGAACTTCGCACAGAGTCGGTGAGATCGAGGTCGCTTCTCGGCGATGGATGTGAGGAGTCGACCTCATTCTGCAGACAGCTTTTGTCAGAAGTGCTTCACCGGTGACGCGCTAAAGCCCTAACACACAATCAACAGATACTGCAAAGCAGTCAGCACGTTGCGTGTTGAGGATGTGCGGTAACATACCTCAGTGCCTCCGGTTGGTCCGAAGAACGTTGACACGCCCTGATCAGATATTGACAGCATGCCGAATGTGTCAGTGACACTTTGTGAGCCAGAAGATGACTGGTCAGTAATTGGTGGACCTTCGCTCCCTGCATTACTGATAATCCGTCCGGAACCCAAGAGAGGGTGCGGTTCTTCGCTGCATTTCGCCTGGACAATTGCGAGTGCATCTTCAAGGTCACGTATCCGCTCGCTCATCTTGGCTATCCGCCTATGGAGGTGCTCCGTAGCAGCCAAAACGAATCTGCATTAGAAACATGATCAGTGCAAACAAGGTCTCGATGGAATCTTTGCAGACCGAGTTCCTTGCCCGGTGGCAAGACTCCCTGCAATGTGCATTTCAGCATTGTAGCGCATAAAAATCGCACTCGAGGACATACCATTGGGGCACAACGCTGCGCAGCCTCTCCGCTGAGATGTGAGTTAGTTGTATTTGAATCGAGATCATAGTCCGAGACGTCGCACCTGGCAGGACTGACATGGGATGGATTTGTCGCAACGGATCTGTCAAGTGACGTTAAGGCCGTCAAGTCCGGACCCAGTGCCAGTGTACAACGCACTTTTAATCTAGTTATGGGTGATAGGAGTCAACAACAGATTCGCTGAGCCAACGAGGGAAACAACGTGTGCGGTGATCGCACCTGCGGCACTCCGCGCATGAAATCTCGCCTCTGCTGCGCTTGAGTTCGATCTCGCGCGCATATGTACTATTATCTGCGTAGACATCGCCCGAATCTCTTCGAGCAGGCCGACGCTGACTCTGTCGGACAGTCGTGCTGGACTTGACGGCAGGATCTGCAGGCATGGGTACAGAGAGACTCAAGAGCCCGTCTCAGGGTCTAAACTCAGTCAAGGATGTATAAGGAGCAACAACTGTGATGATCTTAGATCTGGCAAGAAGAGCTCGATGCAAGTTGAGATCAGACTCCTGCGCTGCCTCAACACTCCTTTATACGCAGCTGCATCGCAGGCCCGGCTACTGAAATTCGTCGTCGAGTCTCGGTCGCCAACGCTAATCTTTCTTTCCGCCGGGATTTGGCAGGGAGTCAGTGATACGCAGCAGATGTTCCTGATTCGACCAGTGCACTTTGACGTTGGGAACTTCCCGGCATGTGTCCGCGACATGTGTTGATATCCCACTTAACCTAATCAGGTCTCGCCGGCCTTAGTCCCCTAACCTACCCACTATCCACATGTCTATCTCACATCGCACTATGCAGTGTGTGTAAAAACCCGAACAAAAGCGACTGAGGAAAGGGTCGTTGAGCGGCCCGCGCAACACCCACCACATATGTCAGCTTGAGAGGGGAAAGACGCCGTGCATGCTTGTGTGAAGCCATTTGCAACAGGGGTGGGCGGAAAATGCGTCAATCCGACAGATATGCCTCGAAGCGAACGGAAATACAATGAGCAGAGCCTGATTCGGATGTCCGCCGCGAAGCTTTTCAACCCTGATTTTTATACTGATGCTCTTCCGGAATCATCCTAGTGCACATGCGTTACTCGAGCCGTCGCGGACTCTTATACACAGACGCTGTCAACTCATTGTGCGACAGTGGACCTGCTGCACCCTGCCCATAGCTCCAAAGTATTCTCATGCTGCGATAGCAACCTACCTTTGGGGGAAGGGAAGGACAAAACTCACCCTGAAGACGAGATCATAGTAGGGATAGCGCACCTATATTCTTATCGTCAGCAGGACTTCAGACACTGGCCCTCCTCAGAGGCGGAAATGACAGCCGATGAGAGTTATTCCTGGATTCCGACGACGTCGTTTTCAAGAAGATTGACCACCCACCGAGCCATGGCCGAGCTTTTACGTCCGAATCTCTCACCGTGGCAACATCACCATGCGCAAGAGAACCATACGAACAGGCCAGGGACGGGGTCGCCGCCGGCGGAGGGTTCCGCAAAGACGACTGCGTTCACTGATGCCCGCAGACGGTGCGAATAGAAGCGATGCGTTCAACCGAAATCTAGATTGCCTTCAGCGATCGCCAGGAAGGTCGCAGTGCGCTGATTTTCTTGTGAGCCTTCCCGTTCTAGAACAAAAGGTGGGCAAACGTTGCGGCCAGTGAATTGGGTCACGTACGAGGAGCACGCAGTATAAGTCAGCAGATCTTGAGCATTGGAAATTGCTTTCCCATCGCCATCAAACTGACTGCACTAGAAAGCACGCTTAGCGGGTCAAGCATAGCGAAAAGCACTGACAACCTACCTCTACGGATGGCATAACGACAGAATGGGTCGCTAGGAAGGCATATTCGGAGTGCAACCGACGATGCTGCTTAGCAAGACGAGGTTTAGGGTGGGACCACCACTATGTACTGGGCATAGAAGAGTTATCGCCGATGACCACCACACGCTAAATTGTAAAAGCGAGCCATGGGATGATATTCATATCGATGCGTACGTACTCTTTACAATGTCCACAGAGATAGAAGCACAAAAATGAAGCATTCAAAGATCAGGTAGAATAAAAGCCTGAGTCACTGAAGCACTCGGCAGGGTTTGACGGTGTCAAGAGTCGGACCGAATCTCAATAGACGATGAACGATTGATAGGAGCGAGCAGAAATATTTCAAATACGTACTAAAGTAAGCGTGCGCCTGAGCCTCCGCCGCAGAGAGACGTTCTCGATGGTCATATCGGAGCAACTTGTCTAATAGGTCCAACGCCTCTGACGTTGCGGTGGAGCGATTTTCCCCAGCTACGAACCGTGTCCATGACAGTTTAGGGTAGCTACGACCATGCAGTCAGCAAGGAACGTGTAGCGACAAGACATCTCCACGAACTTCTGTAGGAGGTCTGCATTGTCTGTCCTCACTTGAATGCCGTACGTAGTGGCGTAACGGTCAAAGTCCTCTGTTCCCAGCACTCTCATGATTTTCAACAACTGATCCTCGTTATTCTTCCCTCGGAAGAAGTGTTCTCTCCGGTAGATCTGAGATAGTGCAACGGATTAGGAGAGCACACGAACAGATACTGGAGGTGTACCATCGCCGCGAGTATGCAACCAACACACCACATGTCCAGACTGTAATCGTAGAGTCGATAGCCTACTAGCAACTCTGGCCCTTTGTAATATCGAGAACCGACTCTCGGTTGGTAGTCTGTCCCCGGATGATAGAAGTCGGCCAAACCCCAGTCGATAAGTCGAAGCTACCACGAGGTCAATTCCAACGAACAATACCCCATACGCTCTCTACGCGCCTTGGCAGATTGACAATTGTACATGATATTGCCCGGTTTGACATCTCTGTGCATTATTCCTCGCGCGTGGACAAAGTCTAAGGCCTAGCTGACTATCAGTATGCGTCGCCAATTCAGTAGAGGGCAAAGCTACCTTGAGCAGCTGGAACAGGTAGTGCTTAATTTCCACCTCTGAAAGCGATCGATATAATTCCTTCCAGTCCGTGTTCTCCACGTACTCCGTGATCAGACTATTGGAGCGGGAAGGCGGATCATGAACAACGTCCAGCAAGCTTATGATGTTCGGTCCGCCTGACAAGTTTCGAAGTATTTTGATTTCGCGTTTAATCTTGTGCTTTGCAACAGGCTTGAGCACTTTGATGACGCACGCCTCTTCATTGGATGTGTCAATGCCCTCGAACACCTGCCTCCTTTCGCTAAGCGTTTCGATCGTGAAAGAGACTGCTGTGCGCATCACCTCCGAGTATTTGCCACCGCCAATGCGTCGCACTATCTCGTAGCGATCGGGGACATTCCACTCTATGGTCGTACTTTCTGTCCATCGCCAGCTGTCCAGAGCCTCTCGTCTTCGAACAGAGTGCTGTGCTCACCATAGTCATACCAGCCGGGACCAAGGTGGGCATTCACGTCTGTGTAGACTCGCGCCATCGCCAGCTCGGAGCCGTCCTGCATGCCTCTGTGTCGAGATTCGGGTTTGATCGTGCTCGCGCAGTGCAAGTGAAGTTCGCCCTCTTCGCGGCGTCGTTCAACGAGTGGTATCAAAAAGCATGTTGCTTACTACGAACTATTACATGCACATCCCACAACAGCAAGGTTCAGGTGCGGCGGCGACATGGTCGCTTTCTGTGAATTTCTGTCAAGGAGACAGACGCTCTCTCACGCTCTGAGCGCTTGATCTTGCACGTGAACCGGGACAGAGTCTGGTTCGACTCAACGATCAAAATGGAAGTCACGTCGTCGCCCTCCGCGTCGCTCCAGTTCTCCAGCAACGTTAAGACGGTCGTCCATCTACGCCTTCGATGTCCTCCTGAATGGGCGCACAAGAATTTGCGTCAATATTCGCAGCCTTTCTATCTGAGCTGGTCTCTATTCTCCAGCGTTTAGCGGGACTTGCCGGTTCTCACCATTCTGACATACACGCTGTTCTTAGAGCACGCCTGCAGGCTGCAGCAAGTCGCGTAGCCACAGCTTTAGAACGTGTACGAGAAAGTAACGCGTGCAACGCCTGCGGACGCCCTTGTTTCCGCCTCCAGACTCTGCTCGGGCCTCATATGCATCTCTTCGTTCTCATACATAATGGCCCCGTATTTTGAAACGGCGAAGGTGCAAGCGTTTCTTTTGATATGTATCATAATTCAGTCTGACTGATCGCGATGCAGTCCTTTGCCGAGGTGCCCATAACCGAAGACGGGGTCGAGACGGCCTCGTTCCTGTTGGCAGCAACTGACTTCTTGAATATGTTCGGTATGGTCTCAACTTCGGTGTACACAGATGTATCAACTGCTTACTCCTATTTCTCATAGATTTGTTGGGCAGTAGTGTCTTCGGCTTTGTGCAGTCTGACATGCGGAGCAACCTTGCTGTAAGTTCTCATCGTCTTCAGCTCGCCATCGCCACCGATTGCGGCGGTTAGGGTGTACGTGAGCGCTACGAAGCCCATACGTCCAAATCAACAACCCTTGAGAAGCTAGTTCTCTGTGAAAGTCAAGAGCATCGAGGACACGCCACTGCCTGTCTTGTGCGGCTCATCCGGTAAGCTATCTTCATATTAGCTCAGCCCTGCATCCCGAAGTGATCTGATGTATGTAAACTTGGTTGTTTGTCAAATTCAGCGGCCTTCTGTTCACATGCCAGGCACTCCAGAACATGCAGAGCGACAAGTCTTCGGAATTGCACACCTGTTTTAAGCAGTCATATGATGTTGTTTTGGGACATCAGCACACGTTCCTTGTGCGGTCGGCCGTTTCTGTACGTGTTGACAATGCGTGGTTTCCTGCTGACATGAATCTCACTGAAACCTACCCACACCGTGTTCCGTCTGTTCTGCTGCCACGGGCAACGACACACTCAGCTGGCTATGAGAGCCATCCCGAACCGTCGCGATTTCTACGACCGCATCACTCAAGGAGGCTCTCACAAAAAGTTCGACGCTGAACTGGCAAAGTGGCTCGTCGGGCTGGAGACTATCGTGAAAAGGATGAGGGCCTTCCTTGAACAGGGTGGATACGGGAAGGTTTGATTGCAGAAGCGACCTCAAATGCTTCCAATAGGATGGAGCGAAGGTATTGAGCACATCGGAACAATCTCACCTTTCTCGCCGACGGCGTATCAATCAGATTATACAAGAACCAGTGCACATAGAAGTCCTTATTCATTATTTATTCATCTACCGGATCAGACATCTACTTCGCCTTGTCACACTGAAACACGATGAGCCCGCACATAGGTCGAAGTCGTTCAACATATTTTGTTCGTGGGAAGCGGCTGACTGATGTACGAGAGTAAGCCCTACAGATTCGTTTAACTGCGCATTCTACCAGTTGCGAGCGATACGATCAGACGATGTTTGCTGTCGCCGTTGTACGTTATGGTAAGCGTCATAAACCAGCTCTTCAGGCTACAGTTCTGTCTGTCTGTACTTGATGCACATTTACTATGTGGGGCAAGGAACATGCTACATACAGGCAGGACCGACCTCAAACCATGTCGGAATCGTCCAGCCTCATCCATTTTCCAGCTTGGATCGATATATCGGTTGATTCCGTCTTTAGATTGCGGGCTTCTCGGATGCAATCCCTATTGAATGCTGTTCGCGACCGATAGCATTTGTTGCAGTTCACAAGTTTCGAATATGTTCTCCGCGGACGGGCTGTGCTCTAAAAGATAGAATGCCGTGGCAGCAAGTCATAAATCGCAGTGGTCGCACGTCTGTTCACAGCACGTCCGAGGAGAATGTTCCCGTCGATGCTTCAGAGAAGTCTGCCTGAAAAGGACGATTCTCATCGTTGGCACGATTGGAAGTGTCTCGGAGAGCCGGTAAAGAAGGCATGCCAGCAGCGCGAGGCAGGACCATTTCCGAAAATGTCTGCTTCGTATGAACCACATCATCCGCAACATTGCAGACATGGATGCGGCCATCCAACTTATGTGGACATCTGTTCAGCGGCTTCCAATCTATCAAGGCGGTGGTTCACTTTGTGTTGCCAGTATCGTGATGGACATTGACAAGACTAGCAACGGCGGGAGACAAATCAATGACCTGCCAGCACAGCACGAGGTCGAATCAGCAGGATATCCAATTTAGGCTGAGGGGCACCCTAGTCTGGATTTTTGGCTGCAGTCATGGGAATGTTTTCCGCTTTGTTTTCCGGAATTCCGGAAATTCCAATTCAAATGTTCTCGCTTCTTTGTTGAGTCCGTATATAATATCTCGTTTCGCGTTGACACCCCATCCTCATCCCCATCAACCCCTCCTTAGCCCGCGTCTTGGATGCGGCTGAAGTGACAGTCGCAGGTGAAAGTCCTTGGGGTGAGTCGAATCAGATGCTCCGCGAGCTCAGATAGAACTAGAGTTGCATTTGAGATACAGCATGCACAATTGTTCATAAATTTGGTCCCATTCGCGAACAAACAGCCCGTCTTCCATAAATCGCGACTCGATGGCGTCGACTACGCCGTATGTTGATATTTCTTCAGATTATATGGAGGTACGAGCTGATCTGAATGATCCAGCCTGCTTCAAAAGCGCAAAAGGCACTCGTCCTTCGCCGACAGCTCTGCAAGGCAAGACGAGCCTGCAAAGAAAGCAACCTCCAAGGGTTCTTCCGACTCCTCACAAGAGAAAGGTGAATACGAGACAGGCCGCGTTATCTGCGAAGCGTGCGGTGAGGGGGTGTCCTTCCGTGACGTAGCAACCGGAGGATTCACGGTGCAGCATTGGGAAGCGCATCGGCTGCAATGGTAGATTTCGCTCAGTTATTGCTCGAATTCATCGATCATTGAATGTTTTCTCGCAGCTCAAATGGCCTACAGCAAAGTCCGGAACCTATACCTCCAACGGAAGACGCACCAATGGATAGGCAGCCGCCACCTAGCAAGCGTCGACGCGCCAAAAGATCCGAGGAAGAACGGATAGACTATTTGCGTTCTGACCCATACGTCGCCAAGTTCGAGGCGTACCGTGTCCTTTGCGCTTCATGCGACAAGTGGATCCGCCTGCGACCGAACTCAACGTACTGCTCCATCCCATGGGATGCCCACCGTAAGAGCTGTTTGGCGAAGAGAGCGTAAGCGCTGTTTTGACGATCTAATGCTATCACACTTTATTGATCCTATCTTGGAATTCTCTTAGCGCTAAGTCTTCCAAACCTGTCGACGACAGGACTGCGTTGTTTGCAAACGATCCCAATGTCAGAAAATTTGACAGCGAACGCGTCTTGTGTAAACTTTGCGAGACGTGGATTCCTCTGGGAGCATCTGACAACCTTCATGCTGTCAAGATTTGGATGGATCATCGCGCGGCCTGTCAGCAAGTTATTCTGACGAGTGAGCGCAGCTCCAGCCCCATAGCTACGTTAGTACTCTGGTAGCATGCCTCCACGATTATCGCTGACAGTGACCTAACTCAGCGTTCCAAGCATTGCCAGCGTTCCTCCTCCCTCAAAGCACTTACTCGCTCTCGCATCTTCCTCGTCGCTGCCCGCTCAAACTCCGTCACGTGTGTCTTCTAGCAGCAGCACATCTACATCTGCGGCCCCTTCAGGCTCTCGAGACCTAACGCCGACTAGCTTTTCCCCAAACGCGGAACCAAGGCGGAAGAATGCAGAGCAGCGAGCGGCACAGCTGCGCGCCGATCCATTGGTAGGCGATCTGGAGCCCAACCGCGCCTTCTGCTCGCTTTGTCGAAAGTGGGTGCAGTTAAGACAGGACAGCACCTATTGTGCATATCCTTGGCAGCAACACCGAGCCAAATGTCTCAAGAGACAGTATGTCTGCGTTCATTTCTTGAAACGCGTATCAATACTGATACTGTATCAGGGAAAAGCGTATTCAGACGGAAGTAGATCTCGCTGACTTCAGAGAGCGCGAGGGTGTGGCGATCGATATGCGGCTTCGATTCTCCGAGGCTACCAGGCACGATAGTGATGAACCCGAATCTGAAGAAGGCGTTGAATCTGGAAACGAGATAGGACAGGGCAGAAGACCAGTGGCTAGGCGAGAAGAACATCCTAAGGCTCAGGCCCTAAGGAATGTGTCTACCCTGCCCAGCCTAACCGTGTATAGCAGTGATCGGATGACCGGTACGAAGTCCCCAGTAGAACACCATCCCCATGGCGGCATAGTTCGTGCCGGAGAGGACAATGGCCGTCCTGGTCAGCTCGCGGACTTGGAGACTCCTCTAGGACGGTGAGTATCACATATTTTGGAAACAGTCGCTGGCGTTGATGACCTTGTTCCAGCATCGACTTCGCCTTCCTTGCCGTCGTTCATCTATTCGCTTCCACATACGAGCGGACGGATGAGTTGACCATCGCCGCGCTTGTCATATACTTGAATGCAGCCATGCCGCCCGACAAGCACGAAGACTTCGACACAGCAGAGGTGATGAAAGCTGCTATAACGCTGCACGAACGTGGCTGTTTCGTCTTGGAAGGCGATGTTATCCGGGTAATGGGTTGATTCGAACAATGCCCCCCTTTCTTGGCAATGTGGTAGATTACGAACAGTGCTCCATCATTTTTAGTACGCGTTTCATTCTTTCGCTACCTTTGTCCTCAGCAGCTGTTAACACGGTACCGTATGAGAACTCGAAATTGTAGACTCCCGAAGTTCGGATGATCCGCAGGAATGTTATTTACTTACAGTGTCCGTCCGTTCATGATACCCGAATGTGACCGCCATGTAATTCTTTTAGCTACGAAGTGGACGTTGGTTCCTTAATGCACATGTTGAAATTGTAGAGGGGCTCGCTCATTCAAGATTGTCATAGCGACTAGTCCAAAACAATGAAGCATATTATCTTACGCGACAGGCATCCGATATACTCGACGCGTTTCGGTGAAGTTGCAGACACGCCGCGGCACAGTCGAAATCTGTGTACAGCTGCCGAATTTACAAGAAATGGGGTGCGCTACCTTTGCATGGTTCTACAAGTGCCTGCGTTCTGAGAGACTCAATGGCAGAATTGAATGCTCGGTCCGAGTGCGGACACAAGGCGGTGGTTGCTGGTATTGATTCAGACGAACGCCGTAGTATCTCCTCGCACGAGAATGAGAGAACATGCGGTCGAACCGGCTCTGGCGTATTGGCTGAATGATCACACCATGCGAAAACGGCTTGGCGGAGTATGCCGCAATGTGGACAATTGTTCTTTCAACATGAGGCTCGTTCAATGGGATGAGGCTCGTTGGGAGAGAATGTTATGGCCCGCACCAGTCGCAACGATGCTCAGCTTGTATATGACACCTGTGTTGACGCCTGATCTTTGTAGAACGCAAAGGGAGGAAAACATGCCACACCCGATGGGGATGCTCATACCTTGATTCAAGTAGTACGTGGATGTTTCACCGTCACCCTCACCTCGGAGAGCGGGCAAGGCCGAGTATTTCATACCCAGATGTCCCCTATACAAAAGCCGAAGCTGATCGTTATGTGTGGTCGGAGCTTAATCCTGTGCATGCGATAGTATTTTTAGTGCAGGTACTTGGCAGATGATCGTAGAATGGCAGTGCCCATTCAGAAAGCCATCATCGTATATCGCTTCCGTAGCTGTGATTTTATTTAGAGATTTCATAACGCTACAATCGTTCGCGATATCTCCCAATGACAACTGTCAGAGTGTTGCGTCGTTCATTAGACAGCGTGTCATCGTGCAGATCATAGTACAAAACAAGAAACTGACTATTATCAACCACTGACTGGGAAAGTCGAGCATGGAAATGTCAGCCGTAAACTGGTATTGAAATTTGTCAACGGAGTTGCAACGCGTCTGCGGCACGATGCCTTGGCACGATAATGACTAACTTGCGGTACGCTCATGGCCGCAGAGTTGATCGTGGTGAAGCAGAGGCCGTACGGCACCCAGAGATTGCGTAGGGAAGCCGAAGCGTCGGAATTGCATAGCTGGTGTATCACAGACAAGAACCCTAGACAAGAACCCCGTCCTGCCAGGCACGAGATAAGTGAATCTTGATATTCCCCTCAGAAAAGGGTCCATGAGACGCAACAGGTGCAGACGGTGAGCTTTCTACTATTGTGATGATCACGGAAAGGCCATGACGAAGATGCGAGTGACCTACGACTCGTGACCCATATATGGGGGCTTCATTAGTACCGAGAGTATGTGCCCGTTGGGCTGCAGCAAGTGCTGCATGCAGGCAGCCATTTCCGACGCGGTGACTCGATATGTGCGACAATTGGGGAGCTCCTGCAAGCCATTGGATACGCATTCAATCCGACATTCTGACCGAGTCCAGACCCGTCAGAGAACCTCGCCAGTGCAGAAGAAGGTGGGCTGGAGAAGGTGGGTTGGTGCAAGCTTTT